TAGCTCTACGCATTTTGGTTTTATTAGTGAAAAATGAAGTTGAATTTATTGCTAGCGTGCGGCCCAGACCAAATATGCCTATTTTTACCACAAATGGCCATAATTCTGCCATTCAAGCAGGTAGCAGGCTGTTTTAAGAAAGGAATCGTGGTCTACTGGTAATACAAGTTCTGTCACTCTGTACAACTTTTGGTAAAAAAATGAAGCAGCTATCGTGAGGACAAGCAAATCGAGGAAACGGACGGACGTCCATACAAGCTATAAAAGTGCAACACCTCGCATGTCCTAGCGCCTGTCTAAGCGGTAAATCAATCTTCAGCACTAACGTGCTGGAATCAACAGTCCCGAAGGCCAGAACATATAACAACACTGGAGGAAGCACGGGACAATTTTTTACACCTGTCACAAGACACTTGGCACCTACCGTTGTAAGGTATAAAAGTTTGTGTCTTATGAACGATAATGCATCCTTTTTTCTCCCGTCGGTATAAGTGCAGAAGATTTGAAGAACTTGGGACGGCGAAAAATAAAGACCGAAATTGTATCATGCGAACCAGCTACCGATAAGCTAAAGGCTGAGGGGAGTAGCCCTACATAGTAGATATGGAGAGGAATGGTAATAGGGTGCGTGAGCCCCTAGCGATCCGTAGTGAGGGCTTGAAAGGCAGGTCCTTCGCTTAACTGGCACCAAAACCTTTTATCAGAGCAACAAACTTTAATATTATTTCTCAGGTTACTTTTCGTTTAGGTGCTTATTGACCGCTGTACATTGTTCAAAATTCATTTCTTTGGCTTTTTCTCTTAAGAAAATGCATGTATAAGTGTAACTTTGTTTAATATTTGATCTTGATATTAAATGTGATCAGTCCGTAAGGCGAAGTTTAAGGTGTGATAGGTACTAAAGTATCACATTTTATAAAAACACGAAAGCATAAAAGTTATTGAGCTAGCAGTAATAGTTTGAGCCATAAATTTATTCTCAATTTTACGCAATAAATGAGAACAAATGCCTCTTCCATGTGTTCTATCACTACTTTCAATTGAAACCAATAAATTCAGTTAAGATTTTTTCTAACATAATCACAGAAACTTCTGTGTAGTAATGGAGTTGACGATTTAACCTTTTTTTTAAATTATATAATCATATACTTTTAACGGCGATGAACGCTGTGTCTACATTTCTTGTTTGATCCTTTTCAGTGAATACTCTGTAAATATACCTTTCACTTATTTTAAGTAGATTCATGAAAATTTACACAGAAATTTATAAGTATTGCCTTTCAAGAAAAGATTTTTTCACATCGATGTCAAAGTATATAAAGCACTGGATAATAATATTATTATGTCCTCTCAATATGTCCGGGACTTACCGTCCATATCTTATAATCAAAAGTATAATTTAAGATCAAAATCTCACAGAAATTTTTAGTTTTGTTTTACAAGCCACATACTAATTATTTTAAAGACACATTCCAGTTTAATGCCATGGTTATTTGAAATTCCATACAACTGATTATTGTAAGGAAAACAAAATTAAATTGTCAATATTTAACAACAGCTTAAGAAATATTTATTAAATTAACTTTAGTACGGTTTATGTGTATAAATATAATATATACAAAAAAGAAAAATAAGTGCCAGAAAAAAAGTTACATATAAATAAAACAAAAAACACAGTCCATGAGTTAACTTATTGCTTTTATCAAAGTGTGTAGCGACATTATGTGAAACTAAGGGATCATATCAATTAACCTATGGCTATTCATGCGTCCAAATCAGTATGATAGTTCTTACCAGGAAAATTAGTACTACATGTTTATACAAGAAAAGCATTGATGCAAAGCATCAAAGGGCGTCCAAGCAAGAAATGCAGAAAGTGAAGATCAACAAGTAGACATATGATGACAAGATGTTCTTATAAACTTTTCAATGGTTAATTGGTTTTTACCAGAATGAACGGACGAAACACATTGTTCATTATGAACTTTGATTGGCATGCTAGAGATTAGAATATTACTTGTTATTTCTTTATGATCGTGATTATTAATAGCAACGGATATACATGTATACAATCATTTATAATCCATATGTGTAACGCATGATCAACACCACACTTGTGGAATTGTCCCTTATTATGTTAGCGAAGATCCCCTCTTAAGGTATCTGTTCACACTTAGTAAAAATATGACACAGGTTATATTACCATGTTGATCATAATTGTTTATTATAAAATAATTGTAATATCTATTTTATAAAAAAAAAATACAGATTTTATGAATATCGTTTTCCTCTCTTTTTGTGTTTTATGTGCTATTTCAATACTGAGTTTTTTACGTTTACTACTCTTTTTTTATTAAAATTGTAAAATAAATTTTAAGAATTCAATTGTCATATTGACCGACGATTATAAGTCAAAACTTAACTGGAAAAAGTCAGCAAATTATGGTTAATCTTTCAATATATAATATTGTTTATTCTTAAACCATGTACATTTGTATATTACTTTATCATTTTCTAAATTATCAATCAATTAAATAATTCATTTCATAAAATCTAATTTGTAACTTTGAATAATTCCTCGGCATCTTTACTAAACACGAATAACAAATTAAATAAAATGATAGTGTCATATTAATACCATAAAAATGTACTTTTTTTCTCAATTATTGTACACATTTATTGTTTTTATCTCATATAGATAAAATGAAACATGTTATTGTTGTTGTTGTTGTTGGTTTTTTTCGAATTGTATGTTTATGTATAATAATAATCAATAAATTTGAGAGTTGATCTATGTTTATTAATTATTGTAACCAAACTAAGTGAAAAACATTCATTTTGGAAAAAAAAACTTATTTATCTGTAAAATATTTGTTCTGTTCTGTAACGATATCAAACATCTACTCCAAAACCGGGAGAGACCGGACAATAAACGTGTGATACAATTCGCCGGTCACGAGTAAATCCCGGTCAAAATAGACCGAGAGAGACCGGAAATACCGACAGGAGTACATCCCTCTATTAATAGATTTTCGGAATGTTTAGGTCATCAACTCATCATTCCCTGCAGAGACCGCAGGGTATTGGTACGCGTTTAACTTTTGAGGCATGGAGGAGCACGTGATCTGTTTTCGGTACATGGAGGAGCATGTGATCTGTAAACCGTACATGATTGGTTAATTGACCCTTTCGAAAACCTGGCTAAATACCGTTTGCCGGTACGTTACGGATAATCCTCTAGGGAATAAGTCAGAATTACACCTAATTAAGAACAAAAAACTATTACGTGATATTATTAATTTTCTATAATTATAATACCGTTTAAGGTGGAAAAACTTGAATGATGTGTTTGAAAATTATCAATGTTTCTTTAAGATGTATCTCAAAATGTTACAAACAATAAATTGTTTATACTGAAAATCTACAAAATTAAAATATTCGTAGTGGCATCTGTCATAATAAATAGAGATGTTTTCTGCGAAAACTTGTGTTTGCTTTTTTTTTGCTCGGAATTATTCATAAAATGGTAGGACTATTTAATCATTTTCTTAAAAAGAAATAATTGTTTTATATTCGACCTTCTCCGGTCATTAACGGTCACCAGTTTCCAAAGACCTTCTTCTATATTGATCGATTATTGTTAACTATATTCCTGATACAAACGTTTATTTATCCATCCACCCAAACAATGTTGAAGATAGTTAATTGAAATATCTTTATATCATCAAAAATGTTCCCCGCAGGAAACCATTTTACTTGTTCTATTTTAACATACCATATAATAACCCACTGTGTACTACAAAATGATATCCGGTCTTCAATGGTCACCAGTTTCCAAAGACCTTCTTCTGTATTGGTCGTTTATTCAATTGTCAACAACATTCCTGATACAAACGTTGATTTCCTCCCCTCCCCAATAATGTTGAAAATAGTTAAATGAAATATCTTTATATCATTAAAATGTTCACCGCAGGAAACCATTTTACTTGTACTTTCAATGATAGAGCTGCAATGTGTTCATCTGTACTTCTATTACATCGTACGTATGGATGGAACATTTCGCATTTCTGTTATTTAAAGACCTAACATTTAAATTAACAAGAAAGTCTTTAAGAAGTTTAGGTCTATTAAATCAAGCCCGTCTTCACGATTTTGTGATTCGTGGTTCTAGGGGGTACAGGGAATTTTTTCTTGTTATAATTCTTCAGTTGCATTTTTATGATAATTATTAATAAACAAGTACAAGAAATATTACATGTACATACAAGAATAGTAGTACCTATAATAATTTATTACATGTATAGCTGTTGAAATATGATTTTTTATTTCAAATGGCTTATATATATGATCAGTACCAAAGGTCCTAGTCGCATTGATTTGTCCTAAAATATGTTTAATCTTGTTATTCATGTAATATAATATCGATACAGAATCTATTAAAAAAAAATAGAAAAAAAAAGAGAAGATTTTTGTTATATTGTTATAGACATAACAAAAATCATGTTTCAACTTCATTTTTTTTTAACATATTGATATCATATTACATGAATAATAAGATCAAACATATTTTAGGTCAAATCAATGCGAATCAACCATGGAATTTGGAAACGTCAGGAAGTAGAGCGCAAATCGACAGCCACAAGTATACATCAGATTCATTTAAAATTGTATATCGACAAGTAAATATTTTTTCATATTTCTTTTAAAAGCATATAGAGACGAAAACCCCTTAATATATAAATGTAAATTATTCCATACTTGCATAACATTATTTCTAAAAGTTCTTCATATTTTGTATTACATCTTAAATCTACATGCATTATGTTTCTATATAAATTAATTGTAGTTGATACTAGGATATCTGCTGAAATGTAGGAAAGAATATCCGTTATATCAAAATGTCTACGTGTTAATTGAAGTAACTAGTTCGAGGTCTCCGTGCAAGTAAATAATAATAGGCCGGCTTCAATTTGTAGAACAGACTATAGTTACTCTCTAATTGGAGACAAATTTAGTTTAAGGGCGAGCCTCAAAATGGTGGATGGAAGTGAAATCACTTCCGGAGTATTGACACTTTCTTGTCTTTCCATCAAAAGAATGATATAAATGCTGAAAGAAAGGATTGATCGAAAACATTCATTTACTTTATTTTAGTTTAAAATAATATTGATTACTTGATTTTCTGTTTCATGATGAAATGACTAAATCATCGAATAAAATTGAAAAAATAACTCGTTCAGTCTTTGTCCACACTACTGTACAAGTTACAACGAGGGATTGTGACTTATCTTATTAATTAAATTGTTGACAATAAGGCATGAAATGGAAATTAATGTAAACCTGTAACTCATAACTAGCATTGCTTATTTTTGAAATTTTAAGTGTAAAAATGCGAGAATATAAAGTTGTGGTGTTGGGGAGTGGAGGTGTAGGGAAGTCTGCTTTGACTGTTAAATTTGTTTCCGGTACTTTCATGGAAAAGTATGATCCAACAATAGAAGATTTTTACCGTAAGGAAATAGAGGTTGACAATGCACCCTCAGTGCTTGAAATTTTAGACACAGCAGGAACAGAACAGTTTGCTTCCATGCGAGACTTGTACATAAAAAATGGACAAGGTTTCCTGATAGTATATAGTATAACAAGTTTACAGACTTTCCAAGATATAAAAACAATGAAAGAACAGATAATAAGAGTGAAAGGAGTAGATAAAATTCCAATGATTCTTGTAGGAAATAAATGTGACTTAGAGCATCAACGTGAAGTTCCTATTCAAGAAGGTGCTACTCTTGCACAAACGTGGGGTTGTCCATTTATGGAAACCTCTGCTAAGAGTACAAACAACGTTAATGAAGTTTTTATAGAAATTGTACGTGAAATGAACACTAGTCCAGTGAAAGAAAAGAAAGGTTGTTGCACCTTATTATAACACTTCAGGATATTTAATGTCAACCAACATATAACATCTGTCAAGGTAAGCAAATTGTTTTTTTTGTTGTTTTTTTCAGTTATCTTTATGTTTTGTCAAAGTTTAATTATATTAATAAAAGAGTTTTTTTTATGTTACTGGTCATTAGGGAGGGTACTTAGAAATAAATATGTACATTGCAGCTAAAGAGGTATAACATTCATCTGCTGATGATTTGAGCATCGAGCAACACATTTTTGGGGTTTTGCCAATGCACGCACCTTACAATAGGTGCTCTGTACTTTTGTCATTTATGACATTGGAATTACTATAAAAAAATTTGAAGCATAAGATACTGTAAATCACTCTCAACATTCAAAATTTACTTTTATTTTGCATGAATGCTGAAACGTATAGGGTTATGATATAGCTACACTGCAATAAGTAGCAGTCCTACTAAATACTAGTAAGAGTACTAACTTGGAATTTTATTATTACATACGTCATTGTACAAAAGTGAAAGTTTTAGCTCAGATTTCATACATCATCTCATTCTGATTGGCTATAATGTTTGCTAACTAGTATTTAATACATAAAGATGTTAAGTAAAAACAAATCTGACATAATACATGTATATATCATGTATACATGTAAATTAAATAGATTTACATGCAAAATTTCTTGCATTTACGTTTACAAATAATAGACATTTGACAGGGATTTTTTTTGGCTTATTTTATAGCCGATATTCGGTCAAATTCCAAAATGAAAATAGTATATTATTTTCCCAATCCACAGGAAAAAATTCCCAATTGAAAGTTACAAAAAAAGAATATTGAATAACAAAATCTAAAATCTTTGAAAATAAGGGCTTCTTCACTGTTATGGTGCTCAAATGTTTGAAGATGCCATCCTAGACAGTGATTCCTTGCATTCATTTAATCATTACAAAATTTAGTCATGCATTTTTGCCCAATTTTTAACAAATCATAGCTGAAATTCCCAATTTCATGGGTATGGGTCAGGTTCCCAAAATCCTGAAAAAAACCCGTTTCAAACTATGTTATGTAGACAGTTGACCGCTAGTACAGTGGTAGTGGAGCAGTTCACTATGTCATTTCGTTGTTAACTTGAGTCCATGAAATTCTCACTTGCCATTCAGGTTAATGGTTATAACATTATTCATCTTGTTCTAACTTCTAGATCAAAAGCTGGGGCACCTGACATACTAGATCCATAAGGATTCAAAGATTGTCTGTTCATAGTTTGTGTGTAGAACTTTTACTGATCACTACTATATGTCTGATACATAACATACTTTCATACTGTGTGTGTATTACTGTCTCTCTACTGAGGTCACAATTGACACTAAATATCAGTGTTGGTCCCCCCTCAGATATCATCTGCAAAACTCCTTTTCACTCTTGATAAACACCTGTGACATTTGTAAACCTTACAAAAACATTCACATCCTCCTTTCCTGTTGCAATTATTTTTATTTTTGCCTCATTTGATTCGATGACAATGCATTTATAAATTGGGTTTATTAATTTGTTAGTGAACGTGAAATTATTTCTATTTTGTTTACATTTCTTTGCAACTGGTTTATTGGTAAATTATGGTACCAATCAACAATTTGCTGTGCTTCTAATTTATTGATTTTACATAGAAAAAAAACACATGAAGTAGACAAAAATCTTGAAGTGTGGTGGTAGGCAACATTTTAATTTTTTGAATAAACACACGCATGTACGTCAACGGTCATGAAGAAAAAAAACACATGAAGTAGACAAAAATCTTGAAGTGTGGTGGTAGGCAACATTTTAATTTTTTGAATAAACACACACATGTAGACAATTTTAAATGCAAACATTTTTGGCTAGATCTATGCCTTTATTAGTATATAAGTTAATATATTATAATAAACTTACATGGAAAAAAACCATTATGGATTAAATGTGCAAAACACAATATAGTGTTAAGTGGCAAAATTATGATACATGTTTGTAACATGTAGAAACATATATTTTAGTTTCAAATGGAGCTGGTATAAAGCTGAATAAAAATGAATCAATAATAATTCAAATGCCTACTTGTCAGTGTTTATAAAATATTTAACCCTTTCCTTCATGAGCATATTGTGAAAAATGGCTGTTTTCATTGAAAAGCCTCCTGTTACAAGTTCAAACTGCTATGAAACTATGAAAAATTCTTCAATACTAATCAAACTTGGCACAAATGTTGACTGGACCATTGCCTTTGTAACGACATGCTCAGTCTTAAATTTCCTGTTACCATGGCAACGAGGGGACATCTCAAAATTGCCAAAAATCACTATTTTGCCTTGACTTTTTCCACCAAAATTGATTTCAAAGTGCTGCAACTTCTAAATGGATTGAGATAGAGTCAAAGGCTTTTCAGCGTTGGTTACACGTTACCTTATGATCAACCTGGGGTCATTTTTAGCCTCTTACAAGTCCAAAATGATCTCTTGGCGATGAGGGGGACTCCACCCCCTTCAAACCCCCCAAACAGAAGGGGGCACATCCCCCTTCTGGCAACCCCCTGATGTATCTTTTGGATGAGGGGCGGCGCCGAAAAAGTGCTCACTTTTTTTAGCAACATTTCTCAAACGAAAACATGTGTTTGGGGCCCAAATAGGACATTTTTTCATTATTTGAGGCCTAAAAGAGGGGGGGGGGGTGTCGAAAGTGCGTTGTTTCTGTATTTTCTGTATAATTTACTAGTTAGACATTTGATACAATGTACAATTGTGCAGTAGTTAATACAAATATTCTGTAAAAATGCAAAAAGTGCAATATATTTTCATAATGGAACTTTTATGCAAACTTTTTGGGACAACCCTTGTGCAATGTAAATAATTAGATTGAAATAGAAAGAGTTGAGACACATAGAATAGAACAGTCATCAATCTTTAATATTTCTATTTTCAGTAATGGACCAGTGATTAGTACAGTTTATTTGTGTGACTTTGTGAATGTATCTGATAATCATCTTTAATTGTGAAAGGAACTGCATTGCCCTGCCAGATAATCAGATGATGTCTCCATAACCTTTCAAAGTGAATGATCTACAAAAGAAGAAATGTTATGTGAAAACGAATCTTTTCATGGGGTTTTATATGTACCTTTAAATACTACCTATATATGTTAATCAACTAAAAATTACATGTAGAACATCAACATATTAACTTTTCACAATTGATAATAATTTTTCTCAATTTAAAGAAGTGTTCTAAAAATACATAGACTTTTAGAGTGAGCATTGATACTTAAGTTTGGAAAGACATCTTGATAACATAAAGTAAAATAAATTGAGTTGACATTTAAGGAAACTTATTGATCTTTTATCTAGTAATTTTACAGCTATTTGTTAGATCTAAAGAATAGTATTAGGAATGGTTCCCTACTAACAGTACTACTGAGTAATCTCAGCAGGTCCCAGTCTTGCTTCACCAACTTACTAGTATGTCAACAGTGTCTAAATGTTGGTGTACTTCAAGCTCAAATTATTTTCTGAATTATTGGTATACCCTTCCACTATTTAAGATACTTCCTACATAACTGTTATTTTACAATAAAGCACTGAAAATAGTCAACTCATTTGTTAGCTCTTGTTTAAATTATATCAGGTTTTTGATTTATGTCAGTAACTTACAATAAGTATATAGACTGTACTTGCTTAAAACTTTCAGAAGTACAACAGTTACTGTAGCTTTAAAAAGTGAGATGAATGAAAATCAACATATATTTGTTGTTAGGCTTTAAAAACCAGTATTGTATATTAGGCAGTGTAGACAGTTACCAGACTGTGATATATATATATGTTTTAATTTGACCAAATTTGATGGTACCATGCTGTACCTAGGTATAAACTTAAGCTCTATGTAAAGATTATTGTTCAGCAGCTATACAGTTGGTCACATGTATATGTGAAAGTGTTAAAGGATACTTAATTATGTATAAATACATATGTATAAGTGCATAGTGCAGTTTATGATAAATATGTCTTTACTTTAATCACTTGTGTCAAATACCAGCACTCAGTTTTAAGAGTTTACAATATATTTTGTTACTACAATAGTTTTAGTTAGGAAGATAGGAAAAGACTATTTATTTTAACAAGAACTCTGTCATATTCTATGTTTACAGTGCTTGATAAGCTGAAAAGATTGCTTAAATCAGGTTTGCCCATAGTATAAATACTCATTGTGAAAAATTCTTGCAAAAATTGCACCCATCCTTTAAAATCTTTAGATAATGATATTATTAGGTACAGATAAATCACTTGAAATGGTCTGCACTGTTTGCTTTTCAGCAAATACATTATTTGAAAATTTTCCTATAAAAATGCTGGACAGTTGATCTATGATATATTTATTTTTGATTCAGTACTTATGTTAATTAGGTTGATAGATATATTTTGTCTACTTGTGCATATGAAAGTGCATTGTTTTATTAACATAATTTACATATAATTATATTTGACTTGTCAATAAATTAGAAATATTAAAGACAATTGGCTGCTATGAGGATGTGTTACATGTTCCTATAGCTGACAGCTGTATTTTATATTCAGAAACTGTAGTCTAATATATGTACTCAAAAATTGTCAATCATATTTCAATTTTATTTTACTTAAATAATGCTTGTGTGACACTGAATAATAAATCATTATTAAAATAGCTGTAGATGGTAAAGCCTCAAATGTCTAATCTATATATACAGCTTGAAACAAAGATAGAAAATACTATAAATGACTAAATGTATGTATAGGGCTAAGTTTATTACATATTTAAGTTCATATAAACTTATTTGATCCTTTGTAGGGCCCAGAATAGCTTAGTAACTTATAGCTTAGTATCATTAGAAAAAATTGAAAACTTAATATGTTGTCAATAAACTTTAAGGCTTAAAGTAGTATTTATTTTATTAGAAAACAGCATATAATATGTATATTTATATGTACAGTCTATTTTTCTAGCCTTATTGTTATCTAAATTGAACAAGCATGCATTATCTAAAAACCGCAGTGTTAAATGGTTTGTTTATTATATTTTATTTGTTCAGTTAGCTAATCTTTGAGTTACGACTTTCAATAAGGAAATTTATCAATTAATAAAATATTGCATTGTATAGCTTTTCTGCCGTGTCTGTAATATGTGAAGTTTATATTTTAACATCATGAACATAGTGTCAATGAGATAATTGATTGTCAGGCCCTGTGTAAGAGAAACAGGTCAATATTGAAAACCATTTTGAACATTTTAATACATTATGTTCTATTTTTAGATTATTTAACTTTTTAAGATTTTCTTTTTAAATTCTGATTTTGATACATAAAATTATATTATCATAATTCTTCAAAATGTCAAATTGTTAATCATAAAATTTTTCATGAATATGTTTTGTTTAGCTGTATAATGATACTGTTAACATGGTTAATAACTGGTTAATTTATTATGTCTTATATCAACAATTGGTTAATTTATTATGTCTTATATCAACAATTGGTTAATTTATTATGTCTTATATCAACAATTGGTTAATTTATTATGTCTTATATCAACAATTGGTTAATTTATTATGTCTGATATCAACATGAAAAATGTATGAGTACTGTTGTAATACACGGGAGAGGAAGTGTTACACGAGGGATGGAGTTCTTATGATAATTTATCAACAAGTTATCATAAGAACTCCATCCTTCGTGTAACACTTCCTCCCCCGTGTAATATATTGGCATTCTTATTCAGCTAGACAGTCATATCTTACAGTCATATAAGGTCACTCTTTTTGACCCAATATCTAACCAATATAAAGTTAAACCAATTAAAATGTTATAATTTTGTTTCACAATATTAGATCTTTTCTTGATCATAACTATTTTTCTGGAGATGATTTGAACTAAAAGATAATGAGCATTTGTCTCTAGGATAGACAGTTTATGCACGTTCTTGTGCTGTTGATTGGCAGACCTAAACTTTTCATCTTGATTTACCCTAGAAGGCTAGATATGGAGGGATGAACAAACCATTGTAAAAATCAGCAGGATAAGATTGAGGAATGCATGGGTAATTTTTGAAGAGATCACTTTGTCACTGACAAATGTTAAAATCAAGGAAGTTATATATTTTCCTTATTTCTCTGTACTACTTTAACTGTTGTGTTTAAATTTTCAACATGTTATGTGACATTCAAAGTGTAAATTCTCATCACTTAGAGAAAACTTAATCGTTTCTACTTCTGTAAGATGATTGTTTTGTAGTCAAAAAGACAACCTTTATATAAATTTTGTTTTAGGGTTTTAGTTACAATAAACATTCAAAGTTTCAGTCAGTTTTAATTAACAAATGCATAAACGTTTTGGTCAAGTTAAATAGTGGAAACTGTCAGAAATTAAGAAATAATATATCCCAAACTGTGATTTTATTGCGCAATTACATCACTGTTTGGAGTTCGGATGCGGGGAATTATATCACGAGGGCGTAGCCCGAGTGATATAATGATGCGCGTCCGAACGACAAACAGTGATGTTATCAAGCAATAAAATCACCGATTTGGATATATTATTTCGATTCTAACACGACATCAACAAATAAATGCTGCCCGAACATGATAATTAGTTAAATTGTGCCTGATTTGTGTCAGTACTTATTGTCAGCGCGTCACAATTTTAGTGGTTACGTCACGTGTATAATGATTACGTCACATGTCTAAATATAGAACGTCAAACAGTGATTTTATAGCATAATAACACACACTTTCGGTTCTTCTATGTTCAATAGGGAAAAATGCGGGTCGTGTTAGAATATTCCTTAGAACTCTTCTCAGAAATCAACAATATTGTTGTTGACTGAGAAAAGTATACTGTTATAACAAAGGCACGCTTTTAATGAGGCTACAGTACTTCTCTCCAGATTCAAACCTTGTACTGGTCGAGTATTTTATTTACAATTATTTGTAGTATTTAAATTGCTGTGACAGGCTATCATAGAAATATTTGGGTTTATAAACAGGCCTTGTTTTCATGATTACAATTCTATATACATGTACTTTAGTCTGCTGGTCATAGAAGTTATTTTTGAAAATACAGTTATTTTGAAAAAAAAACAACTATCCAGCACTTAAAAACTATAGGAATTTTGAATATAGTTTGCACAGAACATCAGGAAAATCAATTTTGTTATTTTGTCTAGAATTTATTTTTTCATTTTTCATGCTCTCCCCCCCCCCCCCCCCCCCCCCAAAAAAAAATAAATAAAAATAAAAAAAAAATGGCATACAATGTATTTTAATGGTCTGTCTGTGTTTGCTTTTTGTCTGATCCATTACTTTGTTAGTTAGGATGGATTTCAAAATAACTTTGAATTAGTGTTGGTAATGATAACAACATGTTGACTGTAAGACTCAAAAATCAAGGTCACACATCCAAAATCTTACTATAATGTTTAATAGATGGTCATGTCTGGCACATGATTTTATTATTCATGAATGGATTTTGAAATAATCATTCAGAAATGATCAATACATGCTGATATATCTTGCACAAAACCAAGGCTTGTAGCCAGTTGTTGCCATTTAGCCAACTTGTCACACACAAGAAATAGGTCTACACCTCAAAGGTCAAGGTCATAGTTGTAAGTCAAAGCATAACTTTGGTATACATTAATAGATGTGAAATAATTATCCAAAAATATGGGGCTTATTTAGACACGTAAACAAGAGTCAGTTTAGCAGCCCAAAGGTTCAAGATCTTGCTTGTTTGTGAAGAGTATTGATATGATAGTGCATAGAAGATGGAATACAGTTATTAATTCTGTCATTTATGGATGGATTTTATAATAACCAGGCATAACTTTGGGGTACATTAAAATGGCTGCATGTCAGAGACTTGTTTTATTATGTTAGGAATGTTTGTCTTAATGAAATTTCTGTGTGAAAAATGAATATGTGTCTTCAGGGATTAAAATTTAAGAAAAAGCCGTGTTGGTTTTAGAGATCTGAATAACATTACATTTTTGTCTATTTCTAGTTAGTAACTTAATTTTTTGTTTGTTACATCCATCAGTCACATCTATTCACGACTAGTCATAGTGCCTTCATTTATCAACACTAGATTTTTGTAACGTAGGTACTTTGCATTGACCTCTACATTTTGTTTGGATTTTAAATAAATCCTCTAAGACTCAAAATAAGTATTTCTTTTTTCCCTCATAGAGCTTTTCTTAATGTTTATAATATGAAATCACCTTGCATGGGCAACAATCTGAAATTATTTTGGAATAATCTAAGAAATATTGGTTGGGTGAAGCTCATTGAGACAATGATTTTATAACTGTCCTTCATAGTTTGCTAACATTCTTGTTTTATATGTGTCAAAGTTACATAAGGGAGCATCTATTAATGCCACCTATATTCTTATTTTAAATACTTTACCTTATGTACCCAAACAATAGACTTGTATATTATAATGTTATTATAAATTAAATGTTGAATTATGTGATTATATGTACACATACATTATCATATTTTATACATTGTGTAATAAATTTAATAGATCATAAAGAATGTACATGTGATTTTATTTCTGAAGCATATTTTATTGTATCTGTGAGCTCATTGAAACCATATATTCAGGGTAAAAATGAAACACATGGCCATGTTTTTATACGACATTTGTCATTAAAACTATGGTATGAAGATAATGAAACTTGTTATTTTAGGCTATACAATGATTGTGTGTCACCTTTGATGACTACGTGATCTGTTTTCACTTCTAAGGCATCAGTCAATTCTAACCTCGCCTCTACCCCCAGGTATAGCACAGTCTTTGATTTTTGTATTTACAAAACTCTATTTTAGTTTTCCCTTCTCTACTGGGACACTAGTGAAACTAGTTAATAAAACTAGTAAAACCTCTTCTTAATGCCACCATGCTGTCAGTTGAATATATCCTTGGCTATTTCTGTACCAGAACTAAATCATCATATTGAGGCAGCATTATAGGGGACAGATGGTATAGACATGGTTTATGTCCTCGGCTGTCCCTTGTGTTGAGAGAAGTGGTTACAATTCACTGGTGCTTTATAAAGATTGGGATATTTGTTTACCTGTTTAATTGTTACTTTTAGTATATGTGAGTGGTCCTTTTTTAAGGGAAAATTTATAAAACCTTAAAACCATCTTGTTGTAAACCATTGTACAAATTTTCACTTTAATTATCAGCACTAGAAATAAAGAGAAATCAAAACGTCACCTGTTAAAAAAGAGATCATGTTTCAGCAATTGTTGTGAGAATGAGCAAATTACTGCAATATTTTGTAGAAATGTTTCGAACCTGATCTGTATTTTTTTCTTGCTAAAATAATTTATATGAGTAAATGACTGTTAGATAATTGTTTAATGGTGTGCTTTCAGGATAGCTGGCTGTCATTATAACTAATGTCCACAGTTTCTTTAAAGAATATCTTCCTACTTGCTCATCTCACATCCTCCACCCACCCCCACAAGATCTGTTTCATATTTATAGCTGTTTTAAATGAGTGATAGAAGGGCAACTTGAATTTCCTGGTCAATTTTCGTTTGCTTTATGTGCTGCATGAAAATGGATTAGTAAAAGACTGTTTAAATGATTGCTTACATGTATGATATGTATTATCATTGGTCTATTGTTTAAGATAACATTGTAATACTTTTGTAAAATAAACTAAATATCAAAATATTATGTCTTCACTTCTGAATTATGAATTATAAAGAAAGGTTTCAAGGTAGCACAATGTCCCTTGCTGCCATTATTATGGGGAAGGTATAAGATAACAGTTTACAGAAGGTTCTAATGGTCATGTAAAGGTAGCTCAATCATTACCATAATGGTTGCAACTTAAATTAAGGTAGCACAAAGTTGCAAGTAAAGGTAGCATAATGTCTTGGCCACTATCATGACTAAGGTTTAAATATAGCACAGTCCCTGTTTTTGCCACTTTCATGGCTAAGGTTTAAATAGAGCACAGTCCCTGTTTTTGCCACTATCATGGCTAAGGTTTAAATAGAGCACAGTCCCTGTTTTTGCCACTATCATGGCTAAGGTTTAAATATAGCACAGTCCCTGTTTTTGCCACTATCATGGCTAAGCCATTATCATGGCTAAGGTAAAGAGATAACTCAATCTCTGTTTTTCCCAATGTCATAAGTAAGTTAACACAATCTCTGAAGCTGCCATTATTTTAGCTAAATTATAGGTAAGAGTAGTACATCTTTCTGCATTGCTAAGATACAAAAGTAAAGGTGGATGTAACATGATGCTCTTTCTGCAGAAGATTGTTATGGTTATGATGCAAGAAAAGCCATCTCAATCCCTCTCTGCTACATGCATTATAAAACCATTATAAAAATCCCTCTTTCTGTCATTACATTTATTATTGTATTTATAATTATGGCCAAATCATGAGTTAAGTTAGAACTATCCCTCTTTCTCCACATTTTGCAGAAAAAAAAAGTGGTGTTGTCATCACCCACTCGTCTACGTTCAAGTTAACCTTTTTCAGTGAAGTTTTCGTTCACGGTCAAATCAATACTAATAAAGCTATAACATTGAAACTTTCTTATGTGGATACTCCTTGATGCATTCACATTGATTTTGAGGTCAAAAGAGCACAGGTCAAGGTCACTGTGACCTTTAATAGGTTAAGGTCAATTTTCTCGGAAACTACCACAGCTATTCACTTTAATCTTGGTTTTCTTGTTCATTATCATCATGTGATGCAATATCAAAAGGGCAAATAATCCTTAACATATATTTTAAATTTGGAATACTTGTTCATTATAAAAATTGGAATGAATTTCTTTAGGACATATAACACTGAAGGGGGCATTTTTGCAAAATAATATCCCTTTTTAGCTCGACTATTCGATAAGAATAAGTAGAGCTATTGCAGTCACCCGAGCGTCGGCGTCGGCGTAACCACTTATGTTAAAGTTTTTGTAATAGTTCAAATATTTTCAAAGTCCATTGACATATGGCTTTGAAACTTTGCACACTTGTTCACCATCATGACCCCAACCTGTAGACAGGAGGAGGTAACTCTATCAAGCATTTTGACAGAATTATGCCCCTTTTTCGACTTAGAATTTACGTTAAAGTTTTTGTAATAGTTCAAATATTTTCAAAGTCCATTGACATATGGCTTTGAAACTTTGCACACTTGTCCACCATCATGACCCCAACCTGTAGACAGGAGGAGGTAGCTGTATCAAGCATTTTGACAGAATTATGCCCCTTTTTCGACTTAGAATTTATGTTAAAGTTTTTGTAATAGTTCAAATATTTTCAAAGTCCATTGACATATGGCTTTGAAACTTTGCACACTTGTTCACCATCATGACCCCAACCTGTAAACAGGAGGAGGTAACTGTATCAAGCATTTTTTTTTACTATCAAGCACTAAGAATAGTCGAGCGTTGCTGTCCTACCGACAGCTCTTGTTCATGCACATGGGCATATAGTAATTGAACTGTCTGTTGTGCGAGGTTAACCTAAACCAGCAAGTTGGCCAACAATTTTATGTCATTATAATGGCCGGGCCAAAAGTTAAGACTTTTTGTCTTGATTATGGTTAAGGCCCCTTTCTGTCATTATTATGATAGGGCCAAAAGTTAAGGCCCATTTAGACAAAAAATTCTGGCTCTTTCTGACATTATGATAGGGCCAAAAGTTAAGGCCCATTTAGACAAAAAGTTCTGGCTCTTTCTGTCATTGCCTATTTCTGCTATTTCTTATATTAAATAAGGTTTATTACTATGCATACTTCTGATCTATTTGTGAATTTCTACACAGTTTCACTAGAATACTGCAGTTTTGAAAATGGTGTACATGTTTTGAGTTTGAAAACCTTGAATATGAGCCATTGAACAGTTCTGCATTATAGAAAATATGACCGTGTCTCTGGTGAGTGATGAATGGCTATCATAGTCCTCTTGTCTAGTCATGGAAAATTAAATCAAATTTGAATCACTTCCTGTTAATAGTAAAAGGACTCAGCAGTCTTATTATATTTGCTTTTAAAAAATTATTTCACTTTGTTGAACACATATGAATTAGTATTGATATTAAAATAGTATAAATTATATATTTGGACTGCATGAGGTTGTTTATATGAAATTAAAGAGAGGTAACTCCTATAAAACAAAGGATTTAATGATTCATTCCCCTTCCCTGTAGATCTATAAATAGAAAAGAAAAATATTTTATTTCTGTTTCATTTTTATCAGTATTTGAAGACGAAATATTCTAATGTATATTGAATTATCAGAGTTAACATGATAAAACTGTGCCTGAATGAGAACTTTGTTGTGATTTATTTGACAAGAAAAACTTGACAAACTTTAAACATGGTAAGTAATTTAATTTGAACAATAAATTATTTCTACTTTCTGTTTCAATGTGTAATATAATAACAAGAAATTAGCTTTTTATTTTAATTGTCAAGTCTGACATTAATTTTGATGATTAGTAATAGATCTATTTTAGGTCTAACTGAAACTTTAAAAAGTAATATCTAACTTTATATGTAAATTTACATGCTTGAGTGTTCTACGGACATTATAACTTTTAAGTTTTTAAGTTTATTGATGATTTAATTGAGACACTTAGAATTCACTAATTAAGGGAAGTAGGCATATCATAAAAAACCTATATATTTATATTGGAATACAGACATACATGTATTCTATATTATTATAAAATATATGTAGATATACTAATATTAAGACTATCGGGCATCATTATTTGCACTGCATGAGCACATACCATTAAGTCCGGTTGTGGTAACTTTATTGGGTTTGAAATTTTGAAAAATTCAATTGACCTGTTTGTTAGTGCTGTTGTTTTTCTAGCTTTGTTGATCCAGCTTCCAGACCTCTACAAAAACTGACTTCACAGACCTTTAACTCAATGTAATTTACAGTTTCTTAAATATCCCACACCAAAAGCTGAAAAAGTAATCTGATGATACAACTTTTTCTACCCATAAAATAATGGTTAATTTATGTGTGTTTGGGTGATTGTAATTCACAAAATGTAACAAGGTCTTTACTTTAGTCAGTAGCTATGCATAAAAAAGTTACAAGGTTTTTACTGTAGTCATGTACTGTGTTTATATGTTGTTATTTATAAAAAAGTTACAAGGTTTAAATTTCTTTATTAAGTCAAAAGCTGTGTTTGGGTTGTTATTCTCAAAAAGTTACAAGGCTTTTACTGTTACATTTAGAAGCAATGTATTTGTGGTATTTCCTCTATTAAACAAAAAAAAATCAAAAGAAATGGACCCTTAGTTTATCCCATTTCAGTTGCATGTCCCCCTGTCCATCTGTCACAAAACTTGTAAGGTTTACTCCTTAAAAACTAATTGTGCAGTTTCAGGAATGATCAGTAACTGTTCCATATTTAGTTGTGCATATTGTCTGAGCATTTTCCAGTTTGATAATTTTTGTCAGAGTTATGGTCTGTTAAGGTTTTTTTATCTTTATCTCTACAAATGCAATGAAACGTAACAGGACTGGTGGGTACCTCAAGATCTTAGGCATATTTAACAAGTTTACTGTTTGAATGATTTAATAAAATTAATTGGCTCTTGAATTATAAAGGTGTTTTGGCCTGTTAATGATTTTTGTGTCGCCTGATACACAGTCATTTGAACTGCAACATGCTTCAAAGTAGCTTCAACATGTAGGTCCAATACCCCTCAATACAACTGCTAAATTTGCAATCATCAACTCTGAGAAGCTTGATATGTTACCAATGTGATGTCACAGAAACATTTTGTCTTTGCTACTCAGGGACACACAAGATTGTATATGTGTGATCCAGAATGATGTTGCAGACATAATAATTATCATTTTGTTAATTATAGTTGGATATTATAGTTTGAATTCTGAGCTTGATTTGAAAGTATTAATTTTGTTCTAATGGATTATAGTAGAACTGATCTAACTGACAATATTTCTGCACCTTCTGAGATCATGGCAGAGTAAATCCACTAAATTTTAATACAAATCTAGATCAAGAGTCTAAATAATTACCTTATTTTCCCAATATCCATGTGATTTCTTATATTCCCAATAATTCATGTATACATTTTAATATTTTATTTACTGTATATCTCTGATAAATGCCACTCCCCCCCACCACTCTATGAACCAGCGGGGAAATAACAAAAAAACTGTAAACTAGGATAATTTATATTTTGACAATATTAACTTTTTTTTATACTTAAATTAATAATGCCCCATGTTAGGAAAATGTAACATCCTCATGATGGGCCTTTATTATAGAATATACTGAATATCCTAAATAAATGTTCTCTTATTATAAATAATATATTATGCCAATATTCATATTTTTATATATATTTTATATATTTTTTATTATCCCTTTAATCATGTAATTATACAATGTACTGTTTTTTTGTTTTTATTTCATACACTTTATTAAACCTATCTATATATATACATTAACATTTGTTGAACCTTTTAAGTACATGTATTACATAAATTTTGTTATCCATGTATTTGATACATTTTTTATATACAAATATTGACATGTAAAAAATGTCAAGATAAGATAAATATATGTGTCAGCTTATCCTAACTGTACAATTTCCTAACTTACTAAATGGGACATCTTTGGTCAAGTGGATAAGGTCTCTGACTTTAAAAAAACTTGCCTTTTGTCACTGTGGTTCAAATCCTGCCTCAGGAACTTTTGATATTTCATGTAAGGAAACTATCCACTGCTATTGGAATGTCAGTGGTTCTACTCAGTTGTTCACATGTTCTTGAAATTATACACAAAGAGGCACTTAGGGTCTTCCTCAACCAGTAAAGTTGGAAATTCACTCTATGACCTTTAAAGAGTTGGCAACAAAAATAAGAGTTAATTTCTATTACAGGTGCAACATAAAGTGTTTCTTGTACATCACAGTGTTGATATTGAAGTTATAAAGAGATATATAATAGATCCACTGGAGAGCCTGGAATCTCATCATAATTTGAAAGTGACCTGTGTCTATGATAGTAGCCATTTTACAGCTGGAAAAACTATTTTAGGAAAGTATGTTATCAATAATCATCATTTTTAGCTCACCTGAGCACAACATGCTCATGATGAGCTATTGTGATGGCCCTGTGTCCGTCCACATACAACATGTGTCATGCATTGTTTGTGGTAACAACATTCCTCTGAAAAAAAGGACTGTATTTTAACTAAACTTAACAGGACTGATCCTTGGATGGCCTCTTACCAAAGTTGGTCAAATAGTTCCAACTTTTTCAATTAATGCATAAGAAGTTCACAGCCGAAAAAGTTATTTAAAATTTCAAAAATCTTCTGGACTAGAGCTTTGATATTTGGTAGTAACATCATCAGAGGTACTTACTATATAATGTTGTACAAATTATACCTCCAGGATTTACCTGCTCCTGGCTGAGAGGTTGCCTTTAATGGTTAAGGCATAATGATTGTAGCCACCGTTTATCCCTGTGTTATTGTAAGAGGCAACTAAATGGGTTTAATTAACTGGAGTCTATGCATCTCTTAGCTCCAGCATAAGGATTTACCTAGATTGTTCAAATATGGCCCTGGGAATAATATTGGGACAGGGGCCATGGATTTTCCTCAAATGTATGTAGTGAAACATTAAAAAAAAATCCCCTCCTTTGAAACCACAAGGGCTAAAACATTATATCTATCTTGGGATCAGAGATCAAGGTCACCACAGCCTTTATCATTTAAAGCTTGTCAGACCAATGAGTACTTTGGCCTACAGTTATAAAATTTCGAAAGGAGATTGGTCATGCCTACCAGTTGAATAGGTTGGTCAAAGGTCAAGGTCACTGTGACCTTAACCACTAAAAGCTTGCCTTACCAATAACTAGAGAACACTAGCCTTCAGACTAAGATTTAGTATAGAGGTTGGCCATGAGAAGTAGATGACTCATGTGGACTTAATGGTCAGTTGGTTAAAGGTTCCTGTAATCTTTAAAAAATACTGAATGCATTCCAGTACCCTTAAATTTTCATCTTTTGAGCAACTGTGCAGATTTTGTTGGAACTTAATAGGAGTGATCATAAGATAACTGACAGACATTTTGAATTGATGAATTCAAAAACTGTATATCAAATATCAGTAAACAATGTATTCATTAAACCTGTTACACATTTGTATTGGTCAAATAAATATGAGAGAAAACTGAACTGGAATGATATTGTATAAATTCATTACAAGAATTCCTGACAATCGGTATAAGCATTTATTCAAATTTAGAGTATTAAATTAACATGATCTTTACAAGCAAAGAAACACGCTATAAATGGAAAATGGTCTCATCTCCACTCTCTAATAAATAAAATAGAAGATTATCAACACCTTTTTATCAATTGTGTGGCAGTATTACTTCCCTGATGTTTTAGTCATTGATGTTTTAGTCATTTTTAGGCATGAATAAATTAATAAGTTTGAAGACATCATTTCTTCCAGATAGATCTTTAACTAATCAACAAACAGCAATCATAATCATCTATATTGATGACAGCAACACTACAAATGACAAACTCTAGATGTATTTTCAGTATTTCAGATTGTGTTAAAGAATGTAGCAACATATTTGTTGTTCTCACTAAGACAGCATTAGACAGAAACTGGGTAAAATATGAAACTCTACTAGCACTGGAGAAGTCTCAACAAGAGGGAAGACTCTGTATAACATTAATTCTCTTTGATGTTGATCCTCAGTGTGCACAGGATGCTGGATTTGGACTTCTAACAAATGCAATGATGATTCATGTTGAACCAAATAGAAATGATTTTGAAAATATTCTTCTGAAACGGCTCATACAGGAAATAAGAGGTTTTAATTTATTTAAGAATTCATTGTGTTCATTGTAGTGGCGAAATGTAGGGATTACTTATCTGTTGTCTGTCCGCATGACTGAATAGGGATAGGTGCATATCTAAGTGTAAATAGAACAAAAGTGTACAATAGAGTTCATTCCATAACAAAAGAGTAATGAATTAAACAAAAGTGTATATTACACAGGTTATCTGGATAAATGATTTTTGGCTGTGTTAATGCCCTTGAATAAAGTGTTTGGCCTGTACATGATTTTGGTGTTGCCTGCTATACATTAGCTAATAATGCTTCAAAGTAAAGCCACATCTTATAAGGATCACTTTTTTGTCATCTATCTCTCTTTTTGTCTATCCATCACAAAACTTTTTCTGGCCTACTCCTCAAAAACTACTGGTGCAATTTCATCCAAACAGTACAGGAATATGATCTGAGTACCAAGTCTAGTTGTGCATATCATCGGCATTTAACAGTTATTGCCCTTTAATGATTTTTGCTTTTTTAAGATTTGACCAGACTATTTCTAGATCATTTCTGAAGCAATCTGAATGAAACTTTACAGAATTAATCCATACAACAATACTTGCACATAAATAATGGGTTTTCCAGTTGAATGATTTTTGGCGGAGTTATGACCCTTAAGTAAAAAAGGAGTTTTGGCCAGTTAATGATTTTGTGTCTCCTGCTACAAAGTAGCCACAACATATAGGGAAAAAACTGGTCAATCACCCTTCAATACCATAATGTTAATAATTAAGTATTTTTTACAATGGCCTTCTTATTTGGCTGATGACTGTCATATAATATGACAGTCTAAAGCCCAATAACAAAGCCATTATGAAAACACTTAATTATTGACAATTTTATTAATTAACTACACATAATCTAAAAAGGTTAAGTACTTAGTGAACAAAAAATAACTAATGTAAAATTCCGTTGTTGTGAGGTATTGCAAATGAGATTCTTGTTTTAAAAATGTCTCGGAAACCTACCTTGCAGCAATTCAAAATGGCGACTTTTTCAGTGAAAAAAAGGCAGATTCATAATGGCCGAGCTGGAGAGCCAATCAAACTTCTCCAATCTCATAATAGCCAAGTTTTCTCGGCCGTACTTTTTGCATAATGGTCTTGTTTTATGTTCATAATGTTGTGGTAAACTTCATATTAGCCTAACATTTGAAGTGAAAACGTGCCCAATATTGAAAAGTTAATTAATAAAACTGCTTTATTGGCTATCATCAGGCGACACATGTGATCACTGATGGCTCTTGTTTATATCTTGGCTATTAAACTTATATGATAATTTTGGCTATCTTAATCAATGCAGGTGTTTTTGTTGTTGTGTATGTCACACTTTTGGTTAAGCTTTTTCATATTCAGCCACTTGTTTTAAGTTGCTAGGGAATTTTAAATAGTTGTTTACCTATCAGATATTGACCAAACAATCATCATCATGACAAGAAGTGCTCATGATACCACAACATCAACTTGTGTGGCAGCATGGCCAATTGATTAAATTGCTTTACACTAGTAATCAAAGGGTTACTGGCTGTGTGGGTTCAAACTCCATCAGGGTTACTGGTAAGCCTTTGTTTCCATGAGCAAGAAACTTTACACTCATTGCTAAAGAACTTGTTGGTTTCAGGGCTAGATTTTAGTATGTTTCAATAAGCTTATAGCTTCCTTAAATAAATTAGTATGAACTAACATTGTTACCTCAAAGGTCAAGGTCAGTCAAAATTCATGTCTACTCCACCAAGGTATATAGCTGTACATCAGACTGCCTAGATTTCATTGATTTAGATCGGACACTTAAATGATTGAGCATGATTAACAAAACTTTTGTAAATAAACAGTCCATTAAAGATTAAGGCAGAACTACAAGTGATTAACCAAATTATTTCCATTAACGTTATATGCATTATATTTTACAAGTTATTTTCTTTGTTTGACTCTGTAAGGCAGCAATTAGTAAGACTGCTTATAAATATGAGATTGAATTCAGCTAGAGTGTTTGAAACATGTGAGAAAATTTTTCCAGATTTAATTATTTATTATAAAATGCACAACTTACTGTCTGGAAATGTTAAAATATGACTCCTTAAGTGAAATTCAAAATGTTGTATTTTGTCACATAAAATTTGTTATAAAGTATTCATTTATGAAAAAAGAGGAAAAAATTAAAAATGAGATAAGTAATAGAAAGAGCACCGAAACACGAGGCTATCTAATTTGTATGAGGGGGCATAGCCCTCGAGTATAAATCAGATTGCCGAGTGTTTTGGTGTTCTTTCTCTTTTGTATCATAGTCAAACATAAAACACGTTCCCTGTTGTCACAATTTTAAACCCCGGGAAAAAGTAACCAATGATCGAGCATCTGAATATGATATTTCTGCCGCTTTCCCTTTCTCTGCCGTCACAATATGTAAACCCCAGCAAAAATGAGCCAATCAACGGGTATGATCTGGAGTGCGGGTAACTGATACCTGCACTCCAGTTACCGCACTGTGCATGTATATGTATACGATTTAACTCTGACACTTTTTCAACAGAAAGGTCCCCAAACTATGATACAATTCAAGATAAATCAACTAAAATAAATATCATGGTTAACATTGTTTAGGAGAGAGGGGTTTTGTAGAGTGTCTTGGGGTGGGGTTGGTTAGGTAGTCACCAATTGACACTTTGTACACCTGTGGTGATCATATGCACATATTTTAGAACTATTCAAACATAATCTTATTTTTTTAATCAGAGCCAAGACCACTTCAGCCAGTAAGGATAGCAGTAAATCTGTCAGTTGGGCAAGCATGGAGTCATTATACTGGATATGCTAAAATAGTGCTGCCAGGTAATGTGGTATTGTAAAAGTAACATATACATTTGTCTGTGGGTCTGAGTGAGGAATAATAATGCTGCCAGGTAATGTGGTAATGTAAAAGTAACAAATACATTTGTCTGTGGGTCTGAGTGAGGAATAATAATGCTGCCAGGTAATGTGGTAATGTAAAAAGATATACATTTGTCTGTGGGTCTGAATGAGGAATTATACTGCTGCCAGTTAATGTGGTAATGTATAAAGTAACATAAACATTAATTTTGTCTTAGGGTCCGAATGAGGAATAATAGTGCTGCCAGATAATGTGGTAATGTACAAGTAACATATACATTTGTCTGTGGGTCCGAATGAGGAATAATAATGCTGCCAGGTAATGTGGTAATGTAAAAGTAACATATACATTTGTCTGTGGGTCCGAATGAGGAATAATAATGCTGCCAGTTAATGTGGTAATGTATGAAGTAACATAAACATTAATTTTGTCTTAGGGTCCGAATGAGGAAAAATAGTGCTGCCAGTTAATGTGGTAATGTTTAAAGTTATATATACATTTGTCTGTGGGTCTGAATAAGGAATAATAGTGCTGCCAGGTAATGTGGTAATGTATAAGTAACATATAAATTTTTCTGTGGGTCTGAGTGAGAATTAATAGTGCTACCAGGTAATGTGGTAAAGTATAAGTAACATATACATTTGTCTGTGGGTCAGAATGAGGAATGATAGTGCTGCCAGGTAATGTGGTAATGTATAAGTAACATATACATTTGTCTGCGGGTCCGAATGAGGAATGATAGTGTTGCCAGGTAATGTGGTAATATATAAGTAACATATACATTTGTCTGCGGGTCCCGAATGAGGAATGATAGTGTTGCCAGGTAATGTGGTAATATATAAGTAACATATACATTTGTCTGCGGGTCCGAATGAGGAATGATAGTGTTGCCAGGTAATGTGGTAATGTATAAGTAACATATACATTTGTCTGTGGGTCTGAATGAGGAATAATAGTGCTGCCAGGTAATGTGGTAATGTATAAGTAACATATACATTTGTCTGCGGGTCCGAATGAGGAATGATACTGCTGCCAGGTAATGTGGTTATGTATAAATGACATATACATTTGTCTGTGGGTCTGAATGAGGAATGATAGTGCTGCCAGGTAATGTGGTAATGTATAAGTAACATATACATTTGTCTGTGGGTCTGAATGAGGAATAATAGAGCTGCCAGGTAATGTGGTAATGTAAAAGTAACATAATTATACATTTTTCTGTGGGTCCGAATGAGGAATAATAGTGTTGCCAGGTAATGTGGTAATATATAAGTGCAATGTAACATATACGTTTATCTGTGGGTATAGAGAAATAAGAGTGCTTAAGGTATGCATATGAAGGAAGAACATTAGGTCTTTTGTTATCAAATTCAATTCCCTAAAAAGCTGAAGTTTCCCTCATCCAGTTGTTCAACTTGAAGAAATTCATAATACACAGCAGAGGGGATCTAGTTTTATTTTTCTATCTGAAAGATCTGATAATGGTTTGAGTCTAGTTAAGCAGTTTATTTCCTTTAATAAAAATGACTTCTGTCACATTTAGATTTTGTATGTCAGGTTTTTACTTTTTTCAGAGTTAAAACAGAGAATATGTACAAGTAAATGGTTCATTGAGAACAGAGGCAGATTTCCTGTGATGGAGTTTAATCTTATTCCACACACTGCAAAAACTGTACGCTATTTGTACGAGTTAAATTCATCTATTAAGGTATATAGTCACTCAGTTCAATCATTTATACAATCTAACTTAAAGTGAATTATTCCATTTTTGCGGGTCTGTAACACCATATAATATTATGTTGATAGTATTATATAATATTACAACAGACAACAAAAGAATTGTTACAGTGTATTAGATACATGATTGGATATTACAATTGCCTCCAACAGTCTAAAAGAGATTTTTTATGCTACTTCTTTACTGGAATATAGACTTATGAAAATCAGATTAAATTCTTAATTATGTTAAGTCTTTATCAAATAACATTTTATATATCAACTATATAACAGAAATAAACTTCTATTTTCATTTAGTTGTTAATAGAGAACTTGCATTGCAATTTAAGTCTAAAGAAAATGTAATTACATATATCAATATATCATATATAGAATTAACTTTGCATGTCAAGTCAATAGTCTGTAGCAGAAAGTATACTTAGCTAGGTTAAAAAATTCTATGTCAAGTCTCAAATATAAAATGGACACCAAGTGTTTAATATTTGATGGAAAATGCACTTTTAATATCAAGTATGTGATGTAAAATTGACTCCAGTGTCAAGTATGTGATGTAAAATTGACTCCAGTGTCAAGTATGTGATGTAAAATTGACTCCAGTGTCAAGTATGTGATGTAAAATTGACTCCAGTGTCAAGTATGTGATGTAAAATTGACTCCAGTGTCAAGTATGTGATGTAAAATTGACTCCAGTGTCAAGTATGTGATGTAAAATTGACTCCAGTGTCAAGTATGTGATGTAAAATTGACTCCAGTGTCAAGTATGTGATGTAAAATTGACTCCAGTGTCAAGTAATTGTGATGTAAAATTGACTCCTGTGTCAAGTAATTGTGATGTAAAATTGACTCCAGTGTCAAGTATGTGATGTAAAATTGACTTCTTATGTCAAGTATTAGATGTAGCAGGCTCTATACTATTGGAGCCTCAATTTTTGTATTTTCTTATTGAAATCTCTTAAATTTTTTAATGGACTGTTTCAAATTTATAAAGCTGGAGAAATCATTTACACAAGTTCAACAGGTTAAGGGTGTAACATTGGAAAGGAGAAGACTTGAGTTATATAGAAGTGTGAATGTATATAAGTAACAAAAATTTTGTATGATCTGTTTGTATTGTAGTGTATGCATTATGTTGACTAATTTTACTTTTCAGTATGAAGGTGATTTAGATGAGATAAAAGCTGATAGAGGGAGTTTCAAGGGTAGACCTTATAAAGTACCTGTCTACTCTATTGAAGATCCTGAAGAGAAGCAGGTATATGTTAGTTATGATTAGCTATAATGCATAATTATGTAGAATTTATTTTGAATGTCATTATAATTAGTCAACATCATTTTTTGAAGTAACTTTCAATGTTACATATTTGATATCATTTTATAGGTCTTAAATTTTCCTGTAGGTCCAACTATAGGTAAATAAGTTTGAATCCATGGGCATATTTACCTTGTCCAGTTGTGGGGACCATCAACTCTGGCAATGAATAGAAAATGTGTGGGCATATTTACCTTGTTCAGTTGTGGGGGCCATGGTCATATTTACCTTGTCCAGTTGTCAGGGCCATGGGCATATTTACCTTGTCTAGTTGTCGGGACGTGGGCATATTTACCTTATCTAGTTGTCGGGCCATGGCCATATTTACCTTGTCCAGTTGTCGGGCCATGGGCATATTTACCTTGTCTACTTGTGGGGCCGTGGGCATATTTACCTTGTCTAGTTGTCGGGCCATGGGCATATTTACCTTGTCTTGTTGTCGGTTCATGGCCATATTTACCTTGTCTAGTTGTTGGGCCATGGGCATATTTACCTTGTCTAGTTATCGGGCTGTGGGCATGTTTACCTTGTCCAGTTGTGGGGGCCTTAGTCATATTTAGTCTATTTATTTTGTCTTGTTGTTGGGCCATAGGCATAATTATTTACCTTGTCTAATTGTCGGGCCATGGGCATATTTACCTTGTCTAGTTGTCAGGCTGTGGGCATATTTATCTTGACTAGTTGTCGGGCCATGGGTATATTTACCTTGTCCAGTTGTGGGTGCCATGGTCATTTTTACCTTGTCTAGTTGTCAGGCCATGGGCATATTTACCTTGTCTAGTTGTCGGGCTGTGGGCATATTTACCTTGTCTACTTGTGGGGGCCGTGGGCATATTAACTTTGTCCAGTTGACGGGCCGTGGGCATATTTACCTTGTCTGCTTGTGGGGGGCCGTTGGCAAATTTACCTTGTCTACTTGTGGGGGCCGTGGGCATATTTACCTTGTCTAGTTGTTGGGCCATGGGCATATTTACCTTGTCCAGTTGTCGCTTCTCTATGTAAAATAATCTATGAATCATCATGAATTATACCTGGTAACTTTCAAAATTAAAGTTCTCTTAAATTTTTCACTACATTTGACTTTTTTGTCACTGTAAAGATCACTATAGACAGAAATCAAGCAATAGACACAACTGTAGATATGTTTTTATATATTTTATTTTTCTACAGAGGTATTATTTTGTGGCCCAGATTCCAAACTCATTGAGTATTTTGAACAAGCTAGAAACCCAGTCAATATCTGACGATGGACAGGTTCCAAAATTCACCATATCAAGTGGAGAGAGATGTTTACAGGTCAAGTAGATTTCACTATGTCATATTTGTTAACTAATAGTGGCTTAGTATTATCTGTATAAATTGATGTTTTATATCAAAATTATTTCTCTTGTTAAAAATGACCATCTTTGTGTACATGTATTTTACAACTTAAAATTTATATCAGCTATAATAAAATAGTTTATGAAAGTAAGTATGATTTGATACATGTATGTATTAAAGTCATGGTGAAATTATATTAAAACAAACTGTGTGATAGAGATGGTGTGGGTATTGGGCATTCATGTCACATCTAGCACTCTTGAAGTGTCACCTCAACAGCTGAAATAATTCAAGTTAACCATTTCACATGTCATTTAACATAATAAAATTAAACAGTTTTTCTTCAAGCTTGGCCCAAAGGTTAAACCTATAAGGCATTGTGCAGAGACTATGCTGCTGCTTACAAAGATTTGTGCTACAGATTCTATTCTACAGTTGCTTTTGCAAAATGATAGATTTTTTTTTTGAGTTATGCCCCTTTTTTTGAAGAAAGATATGGTATGTTTACTAATTGAAACATAGCAAAATATTTGTGACAAATATCTTTATTTAATTGTTTGAAAGAAGGACATGTGTTATTTGTTTATTTAAATTTTATTTGATCTATATGAGAAAATTGTAGATGTATGCCTTAGTTGCTATATCTATACAAAAACTAGAAGTACATGCTAGGTAACCCAGTTGTTTGTTTTAACTGTAGAAAACAATATTGCATGGAAAAGTAAGTTTGTATCTCCATTGATATATTGCTTTATAGGTAGCAAGGTTTTACTTCATCTACAACAGGCTTGTGAATCACCCAGAAAATCTGTCATGTAATGACATGATCACGCTTGTACATTATAAAGGTAAATTATTACATATTGAAACTAGTGTTTACTTCCTATATGTAAACAAAATCAAAGGGACTTATTGGTAAATACATGTATAATCATACAGAGGTAAAAATGTTAATATTGGTGAAAAATCCTGTCATTCATATGGTATTAAAGTGTCCAACATTGTAGTGATGTGTTGATGAAGTGAGTGGCAACAATGATAAATAAGATTTCTGCTTATAAGTGACAAATGTGTAATTTATCCATTGACTGGTGTGTTAATATTTTCATTATAATTATTATACATTCTAGATAAGAAAATAAATTAGATAATGTACTGTATGAATCTGGTAAAAATGTTATAATATATCAGCTCTAATTTTACTATGCAGATGATTGCAGTGTTGATCAACTACTACTGAAGGCTGTTAAGGAAGTATGTTCAACACAGACTAACTTGCAACAAGCAACACAGGTATTTATATCCAGATTTTATTTACTCACCTGCCTGATTTTCCTGTCAACAATCAATCTTATACCACTGGTTGATGAAACTTGGCAGGGATGTACCTAATGTATACAAAAGTTTTTTCAGTAAGTCTATTTCAGACAAAACTAATGCTACTATGGTAACAGAACAGGCACCTGAGTAGATTAGTAGAACCACCGATGTAAGCTGAAGTCTCTGGTGCAATTTGGAACCACAGCAGTGAGGGGCAAGTGGAGACAAGCTAGATTATATTTACTTAAGACAAGTTTTGCTCAATTTTTGTTCTGTTACAGGTGGTTTTCCATCTGCATATGTATTGTATTGGGTTGATTTTTTAAAGATGATTAGGTTGTGTTTTTGTGATGTTAAAATCAATTGTTTGATATCTGTCCTTTATTAAGATTAACCGATGTGTGTTTTTTTACAGAGCTCAATGCAAACTTTTATTATATTTTATCTTAAACTCACAATCTAATATTATGATATTGATATAAACTATCCCTATATATTTTTACTTGAAATGTATGCAAATATGAATATTGTCATTATTTTTTCCATGGAAACTTATTTTTAGGAATTGGAGAAAGTTTCAATAAAGAGTAGACCAGAGGCTGATAGCTGCAGCGATTTCCAGAATACTGTATATATAGACTTTCATCAGGACTGCAGTAAAGATGTGGAAACAGGACACAGTGTGACGGAATTTCTTCACAGACATAATATAAAAGTATGGGACAATAAACGTCCTGGGAAGACAGATTTGGACAATTTGAAATGTGCATTAAATGAGTCAAAGTGGTGTGTCTTTGTGATATCATCTGAAGCATTACATAAAGAAGATTTTAGATTGTTAATGTTTAGATGTAGAGCTGCAATGCACAGGAGTATTTTTGAAAATGAGCTTCGATTAATACCTGTGGTTGATGAGATAACAGAAGAGGATATCCCACGTGATATCTGTGCCGTAACATATCTCAGCAAGCAGGAACCTAATTATCTCCACAAACTTCTAAATATCATCAAATGTATGTATCTTTAATTTATGTATCTTTATCCATTACATCATGTTAGTTTAAGATGTAAATAGACGTTGCTTTTATTTCATCATTTGTATTATCTTATGAATTAAATTATAAAAATGATAAGTCATAAGATCGTTAAGGCCTATCTCAGCTTGTGATTATGATTTTGATATTTCTTATATGTATTGTACTGTATTTGATCAATTGTTGTATATAGAATAACTGGAAAACTTGGTGACTATAATTATGTTGTGTTCATCTTATGTTTTTGATTATTTGTCAAATTTTTGAAAACATGAATAACTTTAAAAGGTCATGAAACACGATGGAAAGACAACTGGCCTATCAGACAAGTTTTAGTTTTGAAATTAACATTTAAATCAGGGTATAATTTTACTGATGTTATATTTTAGGTGGAAGTATAAAGATAGAAGGGAAAGTAAGTGGAAGAGATGTTCATCAAGGTCTAGCATGGGCATATGTTCTCAATTACCTTCAAGTTACTCTCAAAGGTAGCAATAATTTATATAATTACCTGAATATCAGCACATAAATTTTTAGCAGTTTTATAACTAAAGTGCTTTTTTTCTTCTAGCAAGCATTTTTTTCATTCAAATGGTTTGTAATGTAAGGGCTTTCTCTTTCAAGTAAATCCTCTTTCAGTGAAGCATCTGTCACTGTATTTTAAGCATTTGTTACTTGGATTTATTTTTATCCAAAATTTTAGAGGCCCTTGAACCCATCTTACTATTAGGGGTCCCAAAACTATATTCAATTTATATGTCTCTAAATAACATATCCACATGCTTTAATGCAACCTTGGGTAAAATTACTGATTTGACAGACAAGCAAATAATGAAATATTAGTCATTTTCATACCACATTAAAGGTTATTTGTTGTAACAATATTGTTTTCTTCTGTGCAGACTTAACTGCAGATGATCTGGTCAAGTTTTTGCCAGCATTATCCTTTAGTGTTCTGTTTTTACCAAGGAATCATCTACCAATTAAGTATCAGTCATTTTAGCATCTGTTCAGTGAAGAATCTATTTGTGTATCATATGTCAGTGAAACAATTTTCTATGAAGCATCTATTTGTGTAGAATCTGTCAATGAAGCATCTGTCAGTGAAGAATCTATCTGTGCAGCATCTATCAGTGTAGTATCTATCTGTGCAGCATCTATTAGTGAAGCGTCTATTTGTGAAGCATATATCTCTGAAGCATCTTTCATTGAAGCATCTATCTGTTAAGAACCTATCTGTAAAGTATTTATCAGTGAAACATGTATCTGTTTAGCATCTATCAATGAATATGCTATATTTCTAGCATATATCTGTGTAGCATTTATCTGTGTAGCATCTATCTGTGTAGCATCTATCTGTGTAGCATTTATCTGTGTAGCATTTATCAATGAAACATCTGTCTGTATAGCATCTATCTGTGTAGCATTTATCTGTGTAGCATTTATCTGTGTAGCATTTATCTGTGTAGCATATATCTGTGTAGCATTTATCTGTGTAGCATCTATCCGTGTAGCATTTATCTGTGTAGCATTTATCTGTGTAGCATTTATCAGTGAAGCATCTATCTGTGTAGCATCTATCTGTGTAGCATTTATCTGTGTAGCATTTATATATGTAGCATATATCTGTGTAGCATTTATCTGTGTAGCATCTATCTGTGTAGCATTTATCTGTGAAACATCTGTCTGTGTAGCATCTATCTGTGTAGCATTTATCTGTGTAGCATTTATCTGTGTAGCATTTATATGTGTAGCATATATCTGTGTAGCATTTATCTGTGTAGCATCTATCTGTGTAGCATTTATCTGTGTAGCATTTATCTGTGTAGCATTTATCTGTGTAGCATCTATCTGTGTAGCATCTATCTGTGTAGCATTTATCTGTGTAGCATCTATCTGTGTAGCATCTATCTGTGTAGCATTTATCTGTGTAGCATTTATCTGTGTAGCATCTATCTGTGTAGCATTTATCTGTGTAGCATCTATCCATGTAGCATCTATCATTGTAGGATATGTTTGTTGGAATACTGTATTCCTAGAAATTTTTGTGGATACAATATTTCGTGTCTTTCACAACATCGGCATTTTAGCAGAGACAAACTTTCGCGGATTTGTAGTAACCGCGAATTCCGCAAATATTAAGTCGCTAAGGCCTTAATTACAGATTTTGGAGGCATGACCCTGCCTGTTGGGTACTTTTAATTTTTTTTTTTAACAAGTCGCGCCCAAAGCGCTACATTACTCGATACCTTTTCATTTGTTGACTTGTCACACAAGGACGGTTGTTCTGTGAACACTTTTTACTTAATTCCTTACCTTTTTCACTATGTGATTAAGTAAGATTTAGTCAGACCCATTAGCTTTATTCTTATTTGAATTATAACTGACTTTATCTTCAAAATGTCGATACGTAATTTACTACACAGTATCGGATAGTACATCGCTTTCATTATAACAACATAACAGCAGTTTATCAATGTAGCACTTTCATCACTATAGTACTTTAAACAAGGTATCTATAACATACATAAATAATTTTTTACACATTTCTATAGCACCTGTGTTTATATGTTTCTTGTGTAAGTAGATTAAAATAAATTATCTGCACGTTTATGTTTTTATTTAGTTGAAGCTAGAAATGTTCGCGATTTTCTTATAAGTGACATATTCGAAGCTATAAAGATTCGTGGAATCATGCTTACCGCGAAAAGCGCTAACTTAAAACGCGCAAAATCTTTTCTAGGAATACAGTATGTCAGTTAAGCATCTATCAGTGAAGCATCTATCTGTGTAGCATTTATCTGTGTAGCATTTATCTGTGTAGCATATATCAGTGTAGCATCTATCATTGAAGCATATGTTTGTGTGAAGCATCAATCTGTTTGGTATCTGTCAGTTAAACATCTATCTGTGAAGTATTCATCTTTTCAAATAATTGTACATTTGTCATCAGCATTTAATATTTATAGTATAACAAAATTATTGTTGAACAATTGTTCCAAACATTTCAACTTGCTGAAAAGAATATTACTAGTAAATGAATGTTAGCTTCCAATAATTCTTACCTGTATAACTTTATTTTGTTTGTCAGTTATTGCTTGTCACTTCATTATTTTCTCAGATGTTCTGAATTGAATCCTGATATATATATCATGTACATGTATATACACTCTTAAATGATATTTAAAGAGAGTGTTCTATTTTTATTTGTTGATAATTCTCTTATCTTTACAGATCACATTGAGAGACTTAAACAGATCAGGGAGAACTATCCTAAAGATCATGTCTACACAAAGTTGTTTATCATTGTGCCAAGTTCTTGTGCTACTAAATCACTGGGGGCTCTAGATAAAGATGAAAATGGTCATCAAATTGATGAAAGATTTAAACAGCTTCCTGAAATACATTTCATCAATAAAGCAGTTGGGGGTGTTAACAGACCATATCAGTTAATTCCTTACAAATTACAGACTGATGACATGGTAATTATCATTAGGTATATAGAGGTTGGTAACACGGTAATGGTCATTAAGTATATAGAGGTTGGTAACATGAAAATTGTCATTAAGTATATAGAGATTGGTAACATGGTAATTATCATTAGGTATATAGAGATTGGTAACATGGTAATTATCATTAGGTATATAGAGATTGGTAACACGGTAATGGTCATTAAGTATATAGAGGTTGGTAACATGGTAATTATCATTAAGTATATAGAGATTGGTAACATGGTAATGGTCATTAAGTATATAGAGATTGGTAACACGGTAATGGTCATTAAGTATATAGAGGTTGGTAACACGGTAATGGTCATTAAGTATATAGAGGTTGGTAACATGGTAATTGTCATTAAGTATATAGAGATTGGTAAGATGGTAATTATCATTCAGTATGTAGAGATTGGTTAATTGGTAATTGTCATTAAGTATATAGAGTTTGGTTACATGGTAATTATCATAAAGAATGTACTGGCTGCATTGTAATTATAATTATTTTTTACAGGCAGATGATATGTTACATTGTAATTATTATGAACTATACAGAGGCAAATGACACAGTTATTTTCATTAATAAATGCAGGAAGATGATACTGTAATTATCATAAGTATGTGCAGGCAGACAACACTGTAATTATCATAGGTTTGTGCAGGCAGATGGCACTGTAATTATTATTAAATATGTGAAGAGAGATGACACTGCAATTATCATTAAGTTTGTGCAGGCAGAGCACACTGTAATAATCATAAGTTTGTGCTGGCAGATGAAACTGTAAGTATCATGAAATATGTGCAGGCAGATGACACTGTAATTATCATTAAGTATGTGCAGGCATATCACACTGTAATTATCCTAAGTTTGTGCAGGCAGATGGCACTGTTATTATCATTAAAAATGTGGAGGCAGATGACACTGTAATTTTCATTAAGTATGTACAGGTAGATAATACTGCAATAATAATTAAGTATGTGCAGAGAGATGACACTGTAATTATCATTAAGTATGAGCAGGCAGATGACATTGTCATCATCATTAAGTATGTACAGGTAGATAATACTGCAATTATAATTAAGTATGTGCAGTGAGATGACACTGTAATTATCATTTAGTATGTTCAGGCAGATGAAACTGTTATTATCATTAAGTTTTTGAAGGCAGAGTACTCTGTTATTATCATTAATTATGTGCAGGCAGATGACACTGTAATGATACTGTTTGATTACTGTTTGTTTCAGACATATATAGTTGCTGTTGAATATCCAAATGCTGTTTTATGTCTGAAAGAAATGTCTGAAATGTCTTTTGTGTCCGGGTTAGAACAGCAACATCTTCATGATGAAGCCTGGAAATTCAAAGAGCTGGCACAGAACATTATTGACACTACACCTAGCGTTCAAAATAAAGCAAAATTGTTGTACTATGATGGTAAGATTTGTTACAATACAAATATATATGCAAATATGCAAATATCTTGTAGAAATACTTTAAGAACTTTTATGCTCATTGGAGGGATAATTATAGTCACCATCAAGTATGTCCTACTGTGCTTACATTTGGATACTAAGGTGGACAGGAATAAAAAGTGATTTGATGTCATTCATAAAACAATAGGGAAAACAAAAGAGCAGCCACCAAAGTATGATAGTAACACCTTCACTGTCTTTTCCTGTGAATAACTTAAAAAGTATTGAAGAAATTTGATTAAAACTTCACAAAGGGATAGAGACAGTAAGGGGAAGCACAGTGTTTATGCATCAAAACTATACCTCGCTTTTTCAATAATTTTCCTTAAGTTTATAATGCTTGTCGTGAGTATAACTTCTAAACTATCAATGATATCTCATTGAACTTCACCAAGTTGTAGAGGAAGTGCAGTGTCAAAGAAAAATAACTGTACATTGCTTGTTGTTTTTTTTTTTAAATTATCTCCCTTAAAGTTTAATGCTTTTCCACCAGAGAATGAATTATTAAAATGATATTTATCTCCATGAAATATAATAAAAAAATATTTGAGGCTCTAGTCTAGGCATTTGAGAACATATTTCAAACAAATGTTTACAACAAAACAAATGCTCAGAACTTTACATTAACACTCAAAGAGCGATCTCACCAATTTTCAATATAATGTAAACTTACACAGATGCAGAACAATTTTTATTTGTTTGGGTCGTCAGACCAAACAAATAATGGTAGCGAAATTTCAGAGCCTAATGCTGTTAATTGCAGATGCCTAAAGTAGTCCACTTTTTTGAAGCGGTTACTTCCCTTTATATGTACACTAACGCCGAAAAATTCAGGGGAGATCAATGCGTAAAGATTGTCAAATGACAGGCGCATTAATTTTCAAGCAAAGTCGTTCCCGAATGGTCGAAGATTTCTAATATTGTTTCATTCTTTATAGATATACATGCTTACAGTAAGCTCCATGATTATTTACATCTGTGTTTAGCGTCAAAATAATAAGAGTTACAAACCCTAAATTAGAATAATATGGTTTTTTCAGGCCATGTACATATAACTTCACCATGGCCGGGGGGTTTGCATGCTCGCTTATGAATCGAGAGGTCCAGAGTTCAAATCCCAGTTGAGGCTACTCATTTTTTTTTTTTAAGTCAAATTAACATTGAATTGTCTATCAGTGTTGCAATTAGTCTTATAGCCAATTTACTACAGTTAAAACATTGGAAAGCATTGGTGGCACTATACAAAAACAAATTGGTTTATAATCTCACAACCTTCACCTTTTTGACATTCTGAGACCCAAACAAATTCAGCGCCTTCTGTGCTTTGATTTTAACACAGTGCTCTCTATGTTTTACTTCTGCTCCTGGGATCTATATTATACAGTTGGACTCATTGATGCTATAATGAATGAAAAAAGGCTTAAAGTCAGGTTTGGTCTATAATGGGCACATTTTTCATTTATAAATATTTTAAATATTCAAACATATTATTGGAATATTGTTATGAAATATTGCATGAAAAAAAAATATTGATATGTACATGTAGTAAGTTCTAAGTAACTCATATTTAGTATAAATATTTATATAAAAAAATTTGTGTTCTATAACATTTTATTATCTGCTGTATACATATTAGATGCTATGAATATATGAACTAGTGTAGGAGGTTTATTTATTTCAGATAGTAGACTTACAGTGGCTGATGCAATGCTTGAAGTACTGAGAGATGAAGCCATGAACTTTATCCTATGATAGGTTGTAAGTGTGTTGAGTTGAACCCATAGACTACAATTAGGAAATTTTAGCTCATCTGTGATAAAAGATTAAAGATCAAGACATAAACTGTTTGTCATGATACAACATTGTAGATGAATTCATAAACTTATATATTATATTACTGTTGTGTACTATAAATGAACATATAGATATGTTATAAGTCATGTCATGTGAGATGAATTCATAAACTTGTGCTGTGATTCATGTGTTATGGAATAAATTATGAACTGTGTGCTATTAAACATGTGCTTGTTAAAATAGATGAATTTATAAATTTTCTACTATTATACAGTCCTGTATTCTGAGGTGAATTCATAAACTTTGTGCTATGTTTGATGTGTCCTAAAATAAATTCATGGAATAATGAAGTGTGAATGATGAAAATCTTAGAGATACAAGAATGAAATATATTCTGTGATGTAAATGCTCAGGGAGGACACCATTATTACTGTAACCAATACAGACTATATGTGAACATGAAACGATGGGAAGAGCTATCCTAATTGGCATAAGTGATAATGTGTCAGTCAGTATCTTTGTTGTGTAATAATACCAGAAATCAGATGACCTTACATATCACCCTGTGACACATACTTATGAATTTTAAGTTGTTACCCACAAATTTAGACAGCCTTTTTAGGCAATTTGGATCAATCTTAAGTTTCTCTTAACAACTTCACATTTATTGACATAAGATCCCAAAGTTTATGGGCAGTCCTCTGGCTTTAGGGTCAAAGTCACTGGTGCTAAAATAGATGTTTACACTTTGCTCATTTAGCTTTTATTTATCAACCAATGCCTTTTATAAATAGTTGGTTAATTCTTTTAATTTAAGGTCTTGGGTTCAAGGTAAAGTTTGCCACTGCTAAACATACAGTGTTATATTTGTTGACTGATGACTTGCATATTTGATAGGTAGATACCTTGGGTTATCTCTAACTTTGGTGGAGTTTGAAGTCACGTGTCCAAGGACTCAATGACTGGATAAATCTTTTTGGCAAAATTGGTTACTGACAGGAATAAGTGCAATTGGGGGCTGTGCATATGTGTTTACCATCTTGTTTTAGAATATCCTTAGAGATATCTTTTTGAAACATGGAATATTTATTGATGATCTTCACTGCAGACATTAGAGAAGAGTACATAACTTGTGATTTTTTTATATTTATGCTCTTTTCGTCAAGACCTATACTTATTTCAAAATAAAATGCAGAGCATAGTCAAGAATACTGTCTTATGAACTTTTAGTCTTATGAATTATACCGTGCTCCTCTTAATTAGTTCACGTAGTTAATGCTTTGAAACAAGAAAGAAAACAGCAAATGAAACTTATGGTAGGCTTATTGTCATAAGCTGTAGCATATAGGTATTTTCTTGTGATGACACAAGGATACAACAATATTTTCAGTTTTAATGGGGCAGACCATATGTTGGCCATTTTGAAAGCAGTATGTCATCATTTAAATCGCTGTAAATGGTGTTACACTTCAGGTTTTTCATGTTTCAGCTAAAATTTCTACAAGTTATTTTGCTTAATTTTAAATATTAAAACTATTTTTACTTTGTAACTAAAAATTTATTTTTTCAACAAAAAAGAACATTTAGAAAATGATGATTGTTTCAGACGTGTATGCACAAATTTAATGGACTATTGATTGCTTTTTGCAGAAATTTGTAAAATTTTGTTCTGTTTTACGTAAAAATCTAAAGATTTAAAATATTTTGCACAAAATCTTTGTTGTTTAGGTGTATGAATAAAATAAGTCAATTCTGACCAATTTTAACACTGGTCACATGAAAATATGCCATTACTGTGAAATAAGTGATGACCCGGAAATAGTAATGTTGAGTATAAGTGTATTTCTAATATATCCTTAATTGCAATTATTTTAAGACAATTACATTGCTATCATGGTTATATTTTCTGTACTCATCATGTTTATATCTGGCCAAATTCAATAATTCATGATAGAATTTTAATTGCCTTACAGTTGTAAACACCATATAAAAATAAGGCTACTATTTGCCAACATTTGCGCGCATGACACGTGTCTAATTATGCAACTTTATGATAATGACAAGGGGACATATAGTGTTACTTGTGTCTGTCCGTATGTGCATGTGTGTGCTTGTGTGTTCCAAAATCTTGTCATGTCCATAACTCTGTCATGCACCAAAGGATTTTAAAACATTTTGGCACAAAGTAAAGCATGATGAGATGGTGTGTCATGCTCAAGTCGTAGACTCCTAGACTCCAAGGTCAAGGTTACATTTAGTGATTAAAGGTCAGCAGTTATGAAATATAGTTGTGCCCATACCTCTGTCACATAGGGACTTTGAAAGCTTTTGGCACAAATGTAAAGGGTGATAATAATTTTGATGGATCAAATGTGCAAAACCAACACCCCTTGCTTGAAGGTCAATATCACAATTACAGGTCAACGGTCAGCAGGTAGAAAATCTTGTCCAGTTTTAATAACTATTTCATGCAACAAAGAATTTTTGAAGTCAGTTTGCAAAGTGTTTGGCAAAATGAGTCTTTGTAACCCTAGCATGGTGATAATCTATGCTGTTGGACATTAAGAATAATTGTTACTTCTGAATAAAAAGCTATTCCAGTGTTATGTACCAGTACAGACTAAACTGAGGAATTTGTGCTCTGTCACACTAAAATAAGGGTCTTGTGAATATTAAAAATCTGTTTGTATAAACGGCCATCTGTCCTCTTACTTTAAAGGTCCTTTTTTACATATACGACTATGTTGTCGAGTCATCTTTATAATATTTATATTATTTGGTTTCTTTATTTAACATGTATAACAAGGACATCTGTGTCTGTCAGACACATTTCTATCATATTGGTTAACTACATAGAAGCATGGTTTTAATTACAGCCATGACAGAAGTAAAGCCTAGTAAAATTTGTTAAATTAAGGTGAAAGTTGAATTTTATAAACAGTATACATATTGTATTTATAATTTGTTATTAGTCTGGTGTTGATTTTTTAATTGTTTTATGCTATATTTATCCAATAACTGAATTATAATTTGAGTATCATTTTTTGCATTTATCCTGTCATTTTATCACAGAACACTTGATTGACTGTATTGTTATCATGTATCATATTATATTATTCACTATCTAAACCAATATCACTCCCAAATAGATTGAAGAAATAGAGGATGTTTGTTAAGTTCAGTGTAAGATCGGAATATATTTCACCGAGTGAGCACCAAAAGGTATATTTCACGAGTGGCGCAGCCACGAGTGAAATATGAACTTTTGGTGTTCACAAGATGAAATATATTTTGATCTTGCACTAAACTGAACAAATTTTCTTTTTAATATATGCAAAGAAACGTTATAAAAAGACATTAAACCTAATACTGAATGAAAAGCGCGCCAAATAATAATAATACAACGTGACGTCATTTACGACGTCACGTCATTAAGTTGGTTCCCAGTAATGTGCACGCTGGAATTTCACTGAAACAACGTAAGGGGCTTAAATTCAAAACAGTGAAATTATCAAATTGATAAAACTGTGAAATTATCAGTTTTATATCCCGGATATATTTCTATAAACCACCGAAAAGCATGTAATAAAACAACACCTATTGGATAAGGCAGCAATAGTTATTATGAACAGGAAAAAAGAAATAACATAGTAATACTTAAATGAACCAGTATATCTCTTATTCTCATATATTAAGGTCACAATAGAATACCCACAACATCTGTATATTAGGTAATGCTTTAACATCAGGGATTATATAACAGAAAACATCAATTTATTATATATTTTAAGGAAGTGAACCATGACCTATGTATATAGGATAGGATAATAAGATGACATATTCTTCAGATTGTCTCCCTTTACTTTGCTTAAATATGCTTTGTTACCAAACTTTATATACATGTAATATTCTTAAATTAATAATGTAAACTTTATTGTTATTGTTATTATTTTAAGTTATCTATAATTGTATTATTTTGCAACTAGACCTTTTTGTAGGTTAAACTTTGAAATAACTCAATGTGTATGTAATTTGTAAGTTTTCATCAAGTAGTTAGTGATCTCTATATAAATGTTTAGTTAAATTTAATTATCATCTTTGCTTGCCATAATAAATTAACTAACTATATATATAGTAATTACATACCTAATCTTTGGTGTGTAGTCTGTATTCACACCTGAAATGATGACTAGACCTTCATTAAGGTTAGGTTACAGTAACACATCATCATATTTGGTACTCAGTGCCCTAAACTGCGGATGGACCCTCGGTTACATACATCATATTTGTTACTCATTGCCTGAAAAGGCGGATGGGTAAACTCACATTAAACCTAGAATACATACATTATCTTTGGTAGCACAGGCTAAAGAGCCACTCTCTGTCATCATTGCAAATTATAAATTATTGCTTAATGAAATTGAGATTTAGCAATATCTTTTGTTTTATCTAATAACTTGAAGACATTTGAAGTATATACAGTATATTTAATTATTGATTTACTGAATAAATTGAAACAATCAAGATATATCGTGTTTGTTGATATCAATAGACAGAGAGAGAATGAAAGTGAATCATTAGACAGGCCTAACATAAAAGTAGCATATAAGAGGAGAGGAAGACTTGGGAAGCCAGGTTATGCTACCATTGTAGGTATTCTTATCTTGTTACACATGATATACTCTCCTAAACCACGATATACTCTCCTAAACCACGATATACTCTCCTAAACCACGATATACTCTCCTACACCACGAAACAATTTTGATGAAAATTAATACGAATGATCTTTGGGTATAGCAGAACAAAAGAAAAATGCATCAGTTCGTTGAACATCCCTGATGTTAAAGCATTACTTAATATATAATATTTTTCTCTTGAGTAGTGAGCGATTTATGATTAAGTGCCGTTATGTAGCCCTTGTATTATTGTATTTGCAATGTTGGTACTTTATATATGAAATAGTGACACTGTCTAGTTTCTTGCGTGGGGATTTATCTGACGTAATCGGTCCTTAAAACAGAGGTTGTTCGAGCTATCGGGACATTGTGCCATGTTATTGATACTAGTGTTGAATGATAAAATTATGTCTCTTACACGTGTGCCTTGCTAAGTGACTAAGTCTCACATGATTTCAACAAATTAGATACCACTGTACGGGTTATTGTGATACTTTTTACCTTTTATTTTTTTATTTGAGCGAGGTATTTGTATTAGATAACGAAATCTTCCGTGTTAAATAATTCCGTATGAAATACATGTAGCTTAATCGAAACAAGGAAGTCGTTAGTATATATATACCACACGATAATCTACCGATTTGTTTTAGAACTTTCCCTGATTTAAAAGCTAAAATAAAGATGATTATTAATTAAAAAATCATTTTAAAATGCTCTAGTGGAGGACAAAAACTTCTTTATTGTTGATGATTAGGTTTTCTTCATATTTTGAAAATTAGAAGAAAGGACAGTTTTATTATAGGTATTCGGATCATATTAACGGTAAGAAAATAATTTTGTATTATATTATGATTTTATTATACGTTATATTGTTGATATTATTTGTCTGTAATTATATCTTTAATGGATGTGCTATTTCTAAGTTGTAACAGTTCGGAAAATAATAAACAACTGTTTAAAATATAACGCTACCAGTGATAAAAATAGTTTTCAGAAAAAATCGTCTGTAATTTCCGAAGGTTATACCATATACCAGGAAGTGTCGACTATGTTTGTATTTTAAAAAGTAAATATTGTATTATTCTCACTATTTCATATATAAAGATACAAGGATGTACCAACATGGCAAATAGAAAATAACTGATAAAATGTATCAAGCTTTTTAGAAGGTTAAACTTCCTGTACTTTCATAAGTAATGGAATTTCCAGTTCTAACAATAGAACTTATAGTTATACTACTTCATACTAATAATATTGCTCGTTTTATTTGTAATGTTTAACATAAGGTAATACAAGACGGTAAGTCAGTTTTTACCTTTTATTCCCTGTAAAAGTTAAATGTCTATAGAGGTCTAATTGTCAAGACCTTGTCAGAATTAAATGAAACAAAAATATTACTTATATTAATTAGACAGCTAATTAAGTCTATAAGACTTTAAATTAAATAATTATTTAATGTTTTATATATTTCTATAGTTTTTGCTGTATTTTATGTAATAAATGTAATGAAGATATTAAATTTTGTGTTTATTCGTCACATGAATATAATTCTGTGATCTTCGTTCAATCAGCTTTGCAATTTGACTTCGCAATGATCTTTAACTTATCAAATAGATAAAAACATAAAAAGAAGGAAATAAAACACAAAAAAGGAGGACATTTTTAATTAATAAATATATCTTAGCTTATTTCCAGCAAATTAATGTACTCGTCTAAAATATTGATTGTACATTAACACATTTTATGTTTTGACTTTGGTGATATTTTTTATCATAATCGTACATTAAAGATAACGCCAAATTTTACATTTTTCACAAAAAGCGATCACAACTCATTTTGATAGGAGTGTTAATGTATAGTAATATATAACTAAATTACAAACATAGTCACGCTGTATCAGTATTAATGAGAACACGAGACCTGATAAACCAATATTTACACTGTCCGTCTGTCCGTACATACAGATAACATGTGTCACACAGACAGACGACCTTGTATCAATAAACAACAGTTTAGATAATGCAAAAGTGGTGTAAACATTATATAAAAGTTTTGCCGTTATGATAGCTAGCCTTGTTAATTCAATCTAGATTTGATATAGAACAATGTATAAATTAACATATATCATCTTCGTAAATAAATGAAAAGCTGTTTATATATACATAAAAATGTATCCTAGTTGTGTTACGGATATAAGAACATATAAATTTGAGAACAGATTTTGAAAACTGTGTGAGTATTCTAGAGTTATATTAAACCGCGATAATCGTTTTCTGTGACTTATAAAGGAGTGGCCTATTTCATTAAGGGTTGAGACAGGCGGACGGACTGAAAACAATAGCACACAATCATAATGTATATACATTCACATATATAATGTCTGAAATTAAAACTGTTTTTAAAAAATGAACATGATTAGTATTGTTTACATCACTTTTACTTTCAATTATTAGAAACTGTTAACCACACGTTTCTATTTTCGGAAAATAATTTATAACATGTAGAAGTTTTGAGAGTAGACAAAAGTTATTGTAACCTTTAACCTTATCCATGCTGAAACAGGCCAGCATCCGTTCAGTCTGACCTATATAGGCTCTATGCTGTAGGTAATTCTTTTTTTTAGCTTGACTTTTCGAATACCTTCAAGGTGAAATATGAAATCTGACTTATAATTTGTTCAAGAAAATTATATTTCTAGAGATATTACTCACTACAATATACTTCCTCTTATGCGTTTAACTTTAGAAATAAAGAAAAGTCGAGCGCGACCCAGCTTGACGATGGCTCTTGCTTTATCTTCATATTATTTTTTTTCCCAAATTTAAAGTAGAGCACATCCATAACATTAATTCCGCCGGTGTAACGCTGAAAAGATGCTCCCAAAGAATCATGGTCCCCGGTTTATATCTTTTAATGAATATTGACTCCCCGGTCATAATATTATAAAATTCAAGCAATTAGACATCCATATCAGATGAATGAAACGACTCTTGTGACTAATGGAGGCCCATTTTAAATTATGACCCTCCCGTATTTTAACATGTTTAAAGAAAAAAAAACCTGTCATCATATACGAGAAGTTCTAAGATTATATGATGAAAGAAAGTAGAAACATAAAAAAAATCTTTTCAAGTTAAATCATGACTAAATTTCAAGTTTGATAAATAGGATATTGAATGAGCGTAAGCTTAATACTGAATTTATTGAACGAGTTGAATAAAATTATATTATGCGAGACTTTTAATCAGATTGCCGAGTGTTTTGATGTTCTTTCTCTTTTGTATCATAGTCAAACATAAAAACACGTTCCCTTTTGTCACAATATGAAACCCCGGAGAGAACGAGCATCTAAATATGATATTTCTGTCGCTTTCCCTTTCTATGCCGTCACAATAAGTAAACCCCAGCAAAAATGAGCCAATCAATGGGCATGCTCTGGAGTGCGGGTAACTTATACTGCACTGCACTGTGCATGTATATGTATACGATTTAACGCTGACACATTTTCAACAGAAAGGTCCCCAAACTATGATACAAAATATGTATATCACTCTTGGCGCTTTCCTAGTCCGTTTGTGGCGGTATGTACAAATTGCCATCAATGAATAGTTTATCATACCGCAGTGCAACTTTCTTCTTGTCATTTTTTGCTTTCCTTAGTATCGGTCCGAGTGCTTTCCGTTTATCTGCTATATCTTTGGGGAAATGTTGACTTACCCCAACAGAATTGTACTTTGTGAGATTTTTGCACGATTTTCTCACAGTTTCACGCTTCTCAAAACTACTATATCGTACAACAATGGGGCGTATCTTGTCCGATTTATATCTTTCCATCCTTTCTGTTTTGTCATCGTGATATTTTCTGCATTTTCTATTTTCATGTCTTCTTCCATTATTGTCAATCTTTTTTTCTTTACACTGTTCATTTGTTTCGGATTCTTCATCATTCATCCGAAAAAAAATAGAAGATTATTTTTAGGTCAGGCACATCTCATCTCATTAACGAGATCCTCACATTCAATACGCTGAGTTTCTATTTGGGACAATTTGGTTTTTAAAGAAACGATCTCGTCCCTGCTTTCTTTTGATTTCATCTACGGTATTGCTTTCAAACTGTTGGCTACTCTTATGTTATCATACCTTCCCATTTACTGTCTTTTATTTTGACTCTCAACGGTCTAATATTTAACTATTTACGTATAAAACCTTAATATACATGTATATATAGGCAAAGTTTGTGTCCGCTTGTGTTATCAACACAACTATTGACAATAAACAGCAACGAAAATAGTGATATTAAACCTAGCTTTTATGTTAGTTACAAATATGAAAATTTAACGTAAACGAATATTACTTAACTAGTGTAATAACACCGTGTAATAACATAATCACCAGCATCTTCATTTTTTTCTAGTTTACAGAATAAATTACAGTACAGACGACAGTTTTGTTATTGACACTTATATTATGGAAGCAGACGACCGGGATGATTGTGGTACATCCTGCTGCAGTCTTACATTTGGTTCCATCTTCTGCTGCAGACCAATGAGGAAAAACACCAGAATTAAAATATTATGGGCATGGTTACTGTTGTTGGCAGTAACGTCAGCTGTTGTTTTAGGTTGTGTTGTTTATTCTCCGTTCAAATTATTAGCCACACCAACTGATATGATTCCTATTCAAAATCATGTACACTTTTTATTCTGCGAAGAAGTGAATATTATTTCACCGGGATTACGATTTAACGGTTATATTATGTCTGGCACTTTAGAGATAGATGATTCTAAATCACAACAGTACTCACAAAAAACTGCTTTATTCATTAAGGAAAGGGTGTACGAATATTTTGCATTTTATTTCCTCGAGAGGTCAAAAATAGCTTTAAAACATTGTTCGGAGGATTTTCTGACATTTACTGTTATTATAGGAAAAGACAACTTTGAAATATGGAAAAAATATCAATATTGTGACAACTGTTATTTCGATAAACGTTTTCTGTTCGCAGCAGGTAGTTGTGTTAATGAAGAAGCGTATAGTGACTTTGTTTTGGAAACAATTGTTGCAGACGAATATTTTATTATCTATTCAAATGACAATTTCCAAGACGTTTGGGTTGACATCAATATTGAACTTGACCGTGCTATGTACAACTTTCAGAATTCCACGACGGTTTGCACGGATTCCATTCAGTGTGATATCATCTTAGATGGTCCAGAGGAAACTCCTTTGATTTGGGTAATGGATTATAACTATAATCTTGGACAATATAATCATCCTCAATTTTCTATCAAATGCGTCCCTAGAATATGGGCATATTTATTATTGCACGGCTTCCCAGTTTTATTTATCGGAATATGTTTAAGTATGATAATAAAGAAAAGTTGCAGAAATCCGGATACAAATAACTTGAATATTCAAAACGAAAGGACACCATTGCTATATAACAGCGCAGTCTTACCACCAAGTTATTCTACTGTATTCCGAGAACCACCAAAATATGAGGATGTTATGAGGACGTGTGCACCACCGCCATATTGTCAAGTACTTGCTGGTAGTCTTGAAACAGTTGACATTACACATGATTTAAATGAAAATGTTTCATCTGACAATATACAAGCTGTTCAAGTAGAACATACACACGTTCATGATATAGAAGTATGAATAACATAAACAATGGTAATACTTATTTTAAATAGAAAATGCATTACATTTAGAAACATGTTTTAAAGATATGCATTTAGTGGTCTACAAAATATGGAAACTATTTTAAGATTAATAATCAGTGAAACGATATGATTTGTTTGTTTTGTTTAGTTTTAATGTGTTTTACAATTACATGTTAATACAAGAAATATATAAGACGGAAAAACAACATGAAATAGCTATAGTCGGCTTTATAATATGAAGGACTTTCTTAACTTTTCAAAGTATAATTTTTTCAGTGAAAAATCAAATAATATTTGACTTATTTATTAAATTGCTTTGAAATCTTTGAATTTCGTACCAATTGAAGCTACATCTATTAATTATGAAAATTACAAAAGTTATTTTTACATGACAAAATTGAATGGCGACAATGGTATTAAGTATGCATGAATAGTGAAAATGAACACAACAATTTCATTTGAAGTCATTATATTTGATAATGCACTTTGTAAACTTAATATGAAAAAGTAAACTGGCATGGGCATAATGTCACTTTGGGGTTGAGTAAGCCACTAGTTTTGTTTGGATCGTCAGACCAAACAAATTATGGTAGTGAAATTTCAGACCCTGATATGCTTATTTGCAAAATCCGAAAGTAGTCCATCACGAATTCCTCGAAGCGGTTACTTCCCTTTATAAGTACACTAACGCCGAAAAATTAAGGGGAGATCACTGCGTAAAGATTGTCAAATGACAGGCGCATTAATTTTCAAACCTCTGAGGGAAGAAAAAATAGTTCCCGATTGATCGAAGATTTCTAATATTGTGTAATTCTTTAACATTTCCGCAAATTACCGGTAATAGATTCAAATAATTTTGTTACGCGGATGAATATCATTTTAATCAATGAAAATTGCTCGGCTATTTCCGTAAAGCTTCGGATTATTGTGATCGCCTAAATGAACATTTGTTATTTAGACTTTCTGAAAAATAAAGTAAGGATGTTGACTCTAGGACAGGGACATGATTATTTACATCAGTGTTAAACAACAGGTTTACCGTGAACAAAATATCTCGAAATTAATAATGATTACAAACCCTAATTTAGAATAATATGGTTTGCTTCAGGCTGATTTGTTTTAACTTAAATTCCCCGTGGTCCAGGGGTTACACGCTCGCTTGAATATCAGTGTTGCAATTAGCCTTGTTGCCAATTTACTACAGTTAAAACACTGGAAACAGCATTGGTGGCACTATACAAAAACAAATTGGTTTATAATCTCACAACCTTCACCTTTCTGACATCCAGAGACCCAAACAAATTCAGCGCCTTCTGTGTTTTGATTTATGCCGTTGTCAAAATGTTTTAATTATGTTGGTGAGAGTATGGGAAAGGTCTAATTACTGATGTATGGCAGATAATACTTATGCAAATATGACACATCTAGATTTGAGTGATATTCTATTAATTAAATGCCCATGCCGAGAAGTCAGTATCAGAACGTGTCACGTAATGCCAAAAAGTCATCCTAATAGTGTTTTGCCAAAAAGCCTCAGTTTAATTTAACTGCAAAGTCAAAGCCAAAAATGTAACAATTCCAGATACAATATTTAGTTCATTATCATAAATTTAGATAGAAATTCATTCAAATAACACTAATACTGCATTTTATTTATGACAATGTATCGGGTATCAGATGAACTTAAAAATGACATTTAAGATACTTGAATAATGACATCAAATCTAAATGGTTAGAAATACTTTATGTCAAAAATAAATATAATCAATATCAATAATCAACAAAGTACGGAAACGGACCCCCCCCCTTATATTTATCAAAATGAAGACAATATCAGTAATCTACGTACTAAGTCTATCAGATATTTATGAAATTCATTTATAACTCCCACATGAAAGTAAAATTATATTTCTTGAAACGGTGAAAGTCAGGCCTTTTAAGTGTTAATTTTCATTTGTGCTAATTTAAGTAAAATTCCACTTCGTATTATTTAAAATTTGCAAAATATAATCATTGGATATTACAGTTATATATATTAAATATATGTTAAATAAAGTATTATAGGTAAGAAAGCTATATGTCTCCAAATATAATTAACAATGTGTACTGTTGTGTACAATACTGAATTGTATAGGACGTGTTCACGGCTGTCAGATCTATATTGGACCCAAATGTAACGCATTTACAAATGTTGCAGTTATATAGTTCTCAGTAATTGGCAGATTGTATAATTGGCTGTTTTCAATATCATGGTGCCTGTACCACGTGACTTTTTGAGATATGCAAGAGGCAAAAATCAATACAAAAACGGTCCAGAATTTTTGGACATGATAACCTTCTAAATAAAAATTCAATGAATGTGTTGATCACTAGAATGAGCATGCTCTACATTTAATTCTATAAAAACGAAATATTCAAAAATGAATTAAAATTTTGCTCGTTATTTGTATTATGCTTATCACAAAAGTCACGTTGTAAAGCAACCGTGAATATGTTCAGATGCCTTTCTTATTGTGCTCATTTGTATTTTACTTACTGTTATGTTTAGGTAGACAATTGAGCAACATCTAAGCACTGTCAACTACGTTTCTGTGAAGCTTAATTATTAACAAAATGTGTAGCTATTTATGCTCAAGGTTTCTGGAGCAAACCAGTACTGAACAAAAATCAAAAGATTGTTTCTACTGTTTTAAGTTTTCAAATAAAAGTGGACCTTACTATAACAAGCCATGATTTGACTGAAAATGAATAAGCATTGCCTTACTTGGCAAGATATCAAATTATATACATGGCTTCATACATATCATAGCCAGATGGATTGATGGCATGGTTAGAGAGTTTGCAGTCTAGCTATAATAAGTACTTTCCACCACAATATATTCAGTGATAACTTGAAGCCATTCAGTCAAGATTTTTACTTTAGCAAGGGGGCAGACACAGACATTACTTTAAATAAAAGATTTTATGTAGAAACACTAAAATTAATTTACTAAAGTTCCTGGAGTCAACCAGTACTTTGCAATGTGTGTGACATTTTTACTCAAAGTTCCTGGAGCAAACCAGTACTGAGCAATGTGTGTAATGATTCTATCTCAAGGTTCCTCTGACCAATGTGTGTAACCATTCTCACTCAATGTTCCTGGAGTTAACCAGTACCAGGGTTGCCAGCACCATAGATAATAAAATTCCCTGACTTTTCCCTGACCAAATTAGGTTTTACACTGACCAAAACTACTGAACTTTAATGGCCTCTACCTCCCCTACAGCCGTCCAATCCACCCATTAGTTGTTTTTTTTTTCAATTCTTTTAACAATATGGTATTACATTATTCAACAATAAAACATGCTGTATACATCTCAACAAATTTTGGTAGTTTTGTGTTCAATAAAATATTAAACTATGCACAATAAGCATACAAATCTAACAAGATTTAACCAGTACTTCTAATAATATTGACAAAAATTAAATAATAATGTATGTTTTAGCTTTTGATAGGTACTTTCCACCACAATATATTCAGTGATAACTTGAAGCCATTCAGTCAATACTTTTACATAAGCAAGGGGACAGATGCAGACATTACTTTTAACAAAAGATTTTATGTAGAAACACTTAAATTAATTTACAAAACAAGAGACATGTAAACATGGCCATCCCCCACCAAATGTGTTTGCTCATTGGAAGAATGTATATGTAGTAGAGCAAAATAATTTAATTTTAAGATGTCTTGTGGTAATGAAAACTGATGGCTGAAGTAATTACAGATTTTCATGAAACTGATGTGAATACAAAGGCTGAAAAAAATAGAGGGCAATAACTGAAAAGTAATGCAGGGTAGGTTATCATTCTTGCGTGCTGCACTCCTCCTCAATGAGATCTATCCACCTATGAAGTTTCAAGCTGATACCTCTAACACTTTTTGAGATATGCTCCGGACCTAAAGAATAAAAAATAACAATGGGCAATAACTCAAAAATTATAAAGGGTAGAGTTATCATTCTTGCACACAGTATTCCTCCTCAATAAGATAAATCCTATGAAGTTTCATGTTGATATCTCAAAGACTTTTTAATCAGGTGATAAATTAAGTATGAAAAATAACAAAGGGCAATAACTCAAAAATTATGAAGGGTAGAGTTATCATTCTTGTGCACTGCACACCTCCTGAGTAAGATCCATCCACAAAAATTGAGTATGGAAAATAACAAAGGGCAATAACTGTAAAATAATGCAAGGTAGGTTATCATTCTTGTGTGCTGCACTCCTCCTTAATGAGATCTATGTACCTCTGAAGTTTCAAGTTGACACCTTAACACTTTGTGAGATATGCTCTGGACAAAAAAGTATGAGAAATAAACAAGAGCACCTCTAGGCGGAGCATTATCTGCCCGAAAGTGTTTTTCTTTCTCTAGTAAGTATGAAGTATTTGTAAGACATGGGAATTAAATAAAGTATTACAGTAGAAACTCTGAAAACCGGACCCTCTGAAAACCGGAATCCTCTGAAAACCGAACCATTTTAAAAGTCCCGTATTTTCTCCTTATATGTCCATTGAAAAAAACTCTCTGAATAACGGAACCTCTGAATTCTGAAAACCGGACTGTTTTCTATGGTTTCTAATGCTAAACATGCATTTAAAAATCATCTGAAAACCGGACATCAATTTTAAGTGTCATGCACCTTCTGTGTATTTTAATGTAGATTAAAACAAAATCTCAACTAGTGACATGTTCAATTACCAATTAAGGATCACCTCATTTTATCTATGCAGGTGTGAAAACACTTGTCAGTGTGTGGTTGTTTCTTATTGGCAATTAAATTAAAGCTTTTTCATCCTGTATATGATTGATTTTTCAAATTGTATAAATTTGTTGGTTTTCTTTTAATATAAAATATCTAGAAAAATTGGGACACTTTTGTTAAATGACTCCTGTTTTGATTAAAGTATTGACCTTGAAGTTATCTTTGTTTGGATATTAATTATATGCAAAACTAGTAACACTTACATATTTCAAAAGCCAATTAAAAAGATATTTTTCAGACAATGTGTTGTTTTAATTTCTGATTTTCAGAATTATATTCATGGATTTGCATTATAAAATTAATTAAGACATTTATTGCAAAAA